ATCAACCTTTTCTGATCGATTCCACAACGTTTCTTTCACAATGCAATCGCATGACCATTGCTGGTCTTTACCTTTAACATCAACTCTACAGATACATATACTTGTACATTTTTTGGGGTGTAATGCATACTGTACATGATCCTTGCAGATAGAACAGGTAATTTGATCAAATATTTGTGATGTATTTACCGGGTAATAATTTCTATATTTCAGGCCTTAAATTTCAATATTTTTAGGGCAAGGCCACTTTTCTGTAGGGCACATTCCTATATTACAGCACAAATAGGAAGAATGGGAAAGGGCACAACAAATCTCCAAGGCCAATGAGAGGGGCATCTAAGGCCATGGCCTTGGTGGCCTTGGATTAATATAAGACCTGATATTTATTTTATGTATATAAAACTCAAAAGATACAATTTGCAAATTGTGTACCTAGCCTCAACAGAGATTGAATAAACACTTAACTTGAATCCTAAATGTGTTGCTAATTTAAGGATTGTGACGCTTATGTTCCTTTTTTTTATAACTCCTGACATCAATTGCAATTTAGTCATGAAGCAGAAATGGAAGCAGTGTGTGCAAAAAAAAATCTTCATCTATTCATGCATGCATCATGATCTGGCATAAATTTAATTGGGCTTTGAAATGGAAGCAGTGTGTGCAAAAAAAAATCTTCATCTATTCATGCATGCATCATGATCTGGCATAAATTTAATTGGGCTTTGAATCAAAAGTTATTGCGCCAAACCACAAAATGTGGAAAGCCTGTCATAAAAAGGGGAAATCCCCCATGATATCAACTTGATTTAACTAAAAGCAGAAAAATAAGAGAAACAGGTCACAACAGTGTGATCAAAACCTGATAAAGGATTTAGAAAGTTATGAATTTTTAAAAGTTGTAATCAATCAAATGGGAAATTTTGTAATCTTGCTAGCTAGCACCTCTGAACTGGTTTGTACAATAAATAAATTAATTAATGAATGAATAAATAAAGAATCACATCTCTTGAAATCTTTATATTAGTAAAGAATAAATGGGAGCCTCCCAGGGTGCTACAAGAATTTTTTTCACCACTTGCCCTGTTGGGCAAGTGGGTTTTCAATTTACTTGCCCAAACAATATTTCCACTTGCCCAAAACTTTAAAGCGAAAAAGGACTCGAGGTTAAAGCATTTATTATCTCGTAATGATAAGTTAGTGTTTTAGATAGCAAATTAATGCACATACATGTACAGTGTAACTGTACTGAATAATAACCTAATATGTCAAAGAAAATGGTCAACAAAGGATGGTTGAAGGTTTAAAAAACGCATTTTATTGATTCTCCATAAATAATCAGATTCACATGAATCTCGGCAAGGTAGAATGGTTCAAGCAGGTTTAAGTTTTTAATATTCAGTCATGTAAAAAAGCATAATGACCCTGTTGTAAAAAATATGATACAAACATGTCATTAATGGTAGCCACATGTACCATGGTGCAACATCACATGTGTGTCTGTGCAAGCCGCTGTCATTTGGAAACGTAGGCTAATTTTCAGCTGTTAATAATTTGGGTCAACTCTTCCATCAAGAAACGTCATGTAAATAATGGGTAATCAACTATTTTAAATAAAGTACGGACATTTTTATTTCATCATTCACTGCTATAAATATCATGCCAAAATTTGTAAATTCTTACTAAATAATAATATTGAAGATATTTTACGATAAATCTCGGATAAGTATGCGAAAACTAGACTAAACAACGTCGCTAAAACCATGAAAACAAAACAACAACGGCTTATATTCTGGGGGTCTCGATACTATTATCAAAATGACTCGCTCGGTCGGATCTTGAGACCGCAGTAATAAATTGAAAACGAGACAAAAACATTCATCTGATTTATATGAGCAGCGAGTTTTAAATAATATGTTCACAATCATTAACAGTCATTATGAATAAATATCAAACATTTGACTTTTTGTACTTACTAGAAAATCCCTGTTGTTTATTCCATTCCGATTCGCACGTGTTCATTTCCCTAGAATAATGACGTCATATTTGGCGTGATTCAACCAATCGGCAATCAGAGAATAGCAAAGGCCTGTCGGTGCGGCCTGCAGAGCTAGAGAGAGAGAGCGCGAATAAGCTCGCAGCTGGTACGATCGCGCTAGCTGTCTCTAGCTAGCTCACGGCCGGCCGTGCGTGGAGGCGGAGCGGCATTCATGGCTTGAAGTGTCACTGTTGCATGCGCGCTGAGCTAGCTGAGCTGGCTAGCTGTCTGTGAAGTTTTTTCGAAATCGGAACGATCGCTTTTTTGCTTCTGGATTTTGACGACGGGTAAGAAGTTGACGGGTGAATGGTAGAGTTCTTGGACACTAGGAAATTACTGTAAAAGTATCACTTGCCCGAATCGGGCAAGTGATAATTTGATTTACTTGCCCGACGGCTCAATTTGGTTGCCCCGGGACGTCGGGCAAGCGGGTTTGTCGCGCCCTGAGAGGTGCACAAAAAATCAATTAGAGGGGAACCATCCGTACCAGCTAACATTTGATTGATTTCAAATTTTAAAATGCAATTTTTTCCTATATTTTAGGGGACTATCTTCTCAATCTTTTATACAGATGTGCCTTCTTATAAGCCTACATGTACTCTTGTTAAAACCAACCGAGGGGGACTTTTCCTGTAAAGTGAAGGCCGAATGTGCTGGTATTATCAGTGCTACAAACACCGTAATAAAATAACTATTTAAAATAAATGAAGGGAGGCTGGGTCGCTATTAAAAGCTGTAATCTTATCTTGAATGTGTAAGCATTGTTGTATTCTATTTCGCTGTAGATGTAAACAAGGTATGCTTTCAAATGTCACTGGGAAACCAATCTAGGTGTTATTTGTCGTGGATTTCACTTTTATCAGTCAGGATATTGTCACACTGAGAAACTTGAGAAACATGAACTTTTTATGAAATGTATGGGACATTCTGATATTTCTTAGATAACAATAGCATTTCAAACATTGTTATACTGAGATGTATTATATTTTGTGTACATTACATTTTTAATACCTTCCTAGAATAACATGTAAAGAACCTATTCTTTAGAAAGACAGTGAAAGTTACACTTTCACCGAGTCATCCAAGCATATCATGCCACACCTACTTGCAACAGAAAGTGAAATCTTAATCTTTTTGTTTCCGTGTAAGGCACAAGTTACAATTACTTTGAAATGTGTCAAAGGCCAACAGTTCCAAGATGATGTAGTCATTGATGATAAGCAATAATTATGATGAAGGGGGCGGAGGAGGTGCACGTGCAGAGGAGGAGGAGAAGGAGATGGAATAGTAGGAGGAGGAGTAGGGGTGGTAGAGGTGCAAGAGGAGGATGAGGAGAGGAGGGGAGAGGCGGAAGAGGAGGGGGAGAAGGGGAGAAGGTTCAAGAGGAAGAGGAAGAGGGGAGCAGAGGAGAATGGAGAGGAGGGGAGCAAGAGGAGGGGAGCAAGAGGAAGAATATGTGGAGGAGTAGGAGATGATGTGGAGATAGAGATGAAAGAGGAAGGTGCCTGGTATTTTGTTTGCTGCACTCTGATGAGGATACATACCCATACAACCAGTCCCATCCACACACACACACACGCAAACCCCACATCACATCTCCCTCCCTCTATCCCTCTCTCTTTCTATACAGTGTGCATTTTAAAAAAAAGTGTACCCAACTTTAGCAGCTTATTAAAAAGTCATAACTAATATGACTTTGAAATCTATGTCATGATGAAAAGTAAATTATTTTCTGTCCAATGATACCCTATTCATAAGATTTCTGTCATGGGTCACTGAGCACCAGGCTCTTTAAAAATTGTTGTCAAAATCGCCTTGTACCAAGTTTGGGCTGATGGAACGAATGTGGGTCAGGCCATATTATATGCATGAGCTTGTTCGGTCTTAAATCATTTTAAAGTTTGATTTTGCCACGTGCTACATCGTTAAAATGATGCAATGTATCTAGGCTTTCACATAACCCCGTTTCAATCCATACGATAACCTTCAATTAGTTTGAACAGCCTTCAAATTTTTTGTCCCATGATATCTTTCTGCTCACTTGTCCGCTGTACTATTTAACATGCGTAAGGAGCATAGAATGTTCATCTCTAATAGCGAATGAAAAGTCAAAGGTTATTAAACCCAAAAGCAAAAATGAACACATTATAATAAGTATCAAAGAAATTGACAGTAGACTTTCATAAAAAAAGATACCATCCCTAATAAACTTGATCCATTTTGTATCAATGAGAAGAGTTACCTTAAACAAGGGATGCAAATAAAGTCAAGATTGTTATCATCATAACAAAGAGATTATCATAAATTTGTCTTATAATGAGCAATTCCTTGAGTCTGAGTTGATATTTACACCTTTTCTTTTCAACTGCATAATTAGTCAATGTAAAAAAGTGAGCAGTTATTTTGGAATGAGAAAACACAAACATAATGGATTTTGACCCACATTCATTGCTTCAGCCCAAACTTGGTACAAGACGAATTTTACAATACTTTTTGAAAAGCCTGCTGCTCATTCATACGTGGCAACACAATTATGAATATGGTAACATTAGACAGAGTATTAATTAGTAATTACCCTGTTTACCTATTAAGTTATCGTTTACAAATAGAAGAAAATATTAGAAAACCATGTATATCCCTCCAGAAATGGAGGCGAATGCTAAAAATGTGAATATGCTTATATTATTATGAAGAAAAGAATAAAGAAGACCTGAAATGGTTATTTTACAACAACAAAAAAAAATTAGTAATTACCCTGTACCATGATATATGATTCAAGAGTCACATACATGTAGGTTATAACCTATGAAAGTTGGGTACACTTTTTTCTAATATGCACTTTATATATCAATTTATCAACCAATCAATCAATCAAGCGATCTATCCTTCAATCAATCAATCAATCAAGCAATCAATCGGTTGATAATCTTGGACATTGGACGTTGTGTCGCCAGAATTGCCTTACCTTGACCAAGTCTTTGGGCCAGCCTGACCCAAGCACACTCCTGCTTCCATACCCATAAGTGTTGCCTCCATACTCCACCACTTTCCTGGAATTGGTGTTGGGTCCAGCATAGATCACGACCTAAGTTGGAAAAAATGAGAAAGAAAATAACATTTCATTTCATTTTTCATTTTTATTTTTTCATTTCCAACAAAATACAATACATAATAACGAATACAATGTAAAATGTATACAAAACATAGTTACATTGGTAATAAACAAATCTTAATAATAATTTATACATTTTAGGAAGACAAAAAATGAATAACTGCATTTATATTTTGAGGAAATACGTGTTCACTGACTCTTAGATTATTGCCTGGGTGGGTAACCCTAACCCAAGTTGTCCCAGCATACCCTAACTTTTACCCTAACCCTTATGCTAAACCCTACCCTAACCCTAAACCCCAAACCTAAACCTAACCCTAAAACCTAACCATAACCCTAAAAGATTTCTTTAAAAATTCAATCATGCCGGAACAACTTGGCCCCGTATTTGCAACCTCCCCAGGTCCGAGTTAGCCCGACTACCCCAAATCACATTGAGTGAGACCCTTTCTAACATTTCAACTGTTGAGAGCTGAAAAGGCAGTGGGTGGTATTCTCATAAGTTAAGCCGGGACTAAGTCCAGACTAAATAATAATTTTAGTTCACACTTCAACGGAATGCTAGGTTTCATCTTCCTCCTTCAATATTCATGACAAAGAAAATATACCAAAGACTTTGTTAAAAATTTAGTTCATACTCATATTATCTTTTTCTTCCCATTTCATTGCAAAATTATTTTTTTGGACACTTTTCATTGAAGGATTAAAATAATCTGTACAGGGTAAATGAGTTGGCAACAGGCACTCCATAAAAGTGTGGACCATTAAGTTTATTTCCTTGGAAGTAGAGGTACATGTATTAGCACCCTTCTGGCTCCCAAATGACAATATTTGCTAAGACAACTCTTTACTTAGGAATAAGTCTGACATTTTCATAGTTTGGGGGCTTTGAAGAGAGTTTTGCTTTGGATTTCAGTGATATCAAATGCAAATGGAGTTTCATTAGATCTATATACATGTAGATAGATAGATAGTCAAAATTATTTCATTTGTCATAAAAAAAAACATTTAGATAAAATAACATACAGTATCGCATACATACTGAATAAAGACAAAATAACACACATTACAAAGACATTCATACAAATAAAATATACAGCAAAAAGGTAATCTGGACAAAATATTGGGAAAAGTGAGTATTTATGAGAATGAGGAAACAGCTAGAAAGGAAATGCCTTATTAGTGCTGCCACCTACACAAAAACTAAAACTGAAACTGAAAATTAGAAATTAGGATAAGGTGAGAGTATAACAGGACCAGATTGAAAATTTACAGCATAAGAATAAGCATAGATAATAAAAACAAAAAAAATTGTACAAATTGATCCTCAAAACTTGCAGTCAAAAGAGCTTTGCATCAAGTAATAAGAGAATAGATTCCTACTTATATAGTTTGATTTCAGCGTTCTGTAATTTCTTGTATTTCATTCTCAGGAGTGGAGAATAAAAAAGCTCTGTTTAATGTACATGTATGTCTTTCTTTAGTGCTATTCTCTTACTTTGTAGTACTGATCCTCTCTTCAAAGCTAGTCTGCACTAGTTTGGCCAGGAGGGATTAGACCACCCAGCGTGGTCACTTACAGGTGGTTATTTAATCAACTCAGCTCTCAATTACCATACGAAAAAGAGGATCATGGGGGACCAACAGGCACCGCTTTGGCATTGTTTTCTATATAGAGGGAGCAAGTAGCTACAAGTAGTACAGCGGAGCATTAAATTACCTTGTCATAGTCATACTGAGATGCACAGCGTGGCTCAAACCTCAGATACAGACATCTTGCACCGGGGATGTGTACAGTCTCCCTGAACTTGTAGTTATCCCTAACGGGGTGAATGGTCTCCACCGTCTTACCGGCAGCCCATGGGGCTGGGATTCGCAGCTTGGTCAGGTAGTTCTCACAATTTTTCTCACTCCTAAAAATGTAAACAGGATAATAAGTAATAAGAACTTCAGGCAAACTGGTTTAGAATGTTAATAATAACTGTATTATTTTATAAATGTAATGCTTCTTGGGAGAAATTTCAATTATTCAAACATATTTGTGGCTTACACCAAGTAAATAAGATCGATTGATCGATCTGTATTAAAAAAACAAGTCAGAAAAAAGTCCTGCTGGTTCCAAGATATTTTCTGACTTGTTTTTTTCAATACAGATCGATTAATCCATCTTATTTACTGGGTGTAAGCCACAAATATGTTAAAACAACTGTATTCTGTTCTTCTATAACACATATCTCAATAGAATAGACACCTCTATGCCCTTCCAAAGGACTTTAGAGAGTACCCTCCTAACCACGGCCACTGTGCTTTCAAGAAATACCCACTTACAGCACCTGGGTCATGAGGGGCAGATGTAGATTATTGGCTTGCTGAATGATATAAGTGCTGTGTTGGGGCTCAAATCCCTGACCTTAGAATTATTTTGACATTTTGGTAGCCAATGGATGATGTTACATGAATTTGGTTTCAAAAGGTATCTAACATCATCTGAGCACACTTACAGGGACGGCTGGTATGACCAGCTGTTAAGAGTTACCCGTTGATACTAGGGACCTGTTTCACAAAGCCTTTTTTTCAAAGACAAATGACTAAAATCAGTGACAAATCTGCTGATCACCAATCATAAGCAAGAATTTCAGTAGCTTATAACAAAAACTGTCATTTGTCACTGGTGACAAGTTTTGTGAAACGCCCCCCTGGAGTGTCTAGGGTTTGCAAAGGCAAAAAGTACACAAACAAAGAAGGAGAACAAAAATGTTTGGCAATACATATGTCATGGGGAACATTGAGGGGGGGGTACAAGTTTGTATCATGAGAATATTATGAAGATTGAAACTCACTTGTCTTTGATGTGACTGGCGAGAAGGTCTGTGACCACATCATGGGGCTGAGAGCTGTTCTTATCCATCTTCTTCTCCTGATAAGAAGTGTTTCCTATTGCCATGGCAACCTGCCAAACAGAAGAGTACATTCAAATAAAAAAGTATATGGGTGAAATTTTGAGATCTGAACGTGTCTATAAACAAGTTATATGCACATGAAGTGATATATTATTGCTTGAATTTGACCAAGTTTGGAGATATTAATGCCTTATTAACTGTTCTTTCATTTAGGACTATAACTTGCACATTCTTATCTTGTTATCTAAATCATTTTACGCCTACATGTTCCTACCTGCATGTACGTATACCTTTATTTATACATTTATTTAGGGGGGAAGTATATTAATATGTTTTAGAAATGATGTATAAAGTACCACATAATTAAGACTGGACAAGCACGGCTTAAGAACTACGCAAAAAGCTAATACTAATTCATTGCAGAATAAAAGTGCAGACATAAAATATTACACTACCACGGAATCAAAATAAAACATGCATTACCATCATAACTGGGTGATATAGCTGCATTGCCTTCCATGATGAACAATAGTTAATGAAAATTTGTTACCAATATGAATCGTTAACATTCGAGTCTTCACAGGTATGAAAAGTCCTTGTAGGAGTTGAACAGAAATGGCAAGTTTTCATCTACTTATGAAGTTGTGATTTCAAAACAAATTTAAAACAGAATCTGTGATTACAGACTTCTTACCTGACTGATGAGGACCACAAGTCTGACAACTTGCGGGACCAGGGCTTCAGCTAGGGCCAGACTGCGCAGGTTAGGATGACGTAGGGCTGTGACTAGACCCGGTAGGAGATAGCCCAGGATGGTTCCCTTCACTACACGGTCCAGGACCTGCATCTGACTGGCCTGGCCAGAGTTCATCAGGTCATTGCAGATGCTCAGTAGAGTCTCAAGAATCTGAAATGTATTGGGTTGATTGAATGATACAGATTATAGCATTGGCGCAACCATCTTCATCATCATCATCATTATCATCAGTATCATTATCATCATCATCGTATTCGTATTCATCATCATAATCATCATCATTACCATAACCATTACTACCATCATTACCACCATCATCATCATCATCATCATCATTACTATCATCTTCATCACCATCATCATCATCATCACCATCTTCATCACCACCATCATCTTCATCATCTTCATCATCATCACCATCATTACCATTATCATCATCATAATCATTATCATCATCATCATCATCATCATCGTCATCGTATTCGTCGTCGTCATCATCATCATCATCATCATCATCATCATCACCATCACCACCACTACCATCATCACCATCATCATCCTCACTACCACAACCACCACCACCACCATCAACATCACCATCACATCATCATCACTATCTTCATCACCACCATCATCTTCATCATCTTCATCATCATCACCATCATTACTATTATCATCATAATCATTATCATCGTCATCATCATCATCATCATCATCATCATCACCATAACCACCACTACCATCATCACCATCATCATCCTCACTACCACAACCACCACCACCACCATCAACATCACCATCAAATCATCACTATCACAATTTCTCACCTGTTCACATCCGTTGAAAATCTTAGTAGCCAGTTTGAGGACTGTGTTCTCTACATCCTTTGAACAGGGCTTGAGAGAGGTAGCCCCTTGGGGAGTAGCACCGGTGGCAGTCCCGTCCTCCTCATTCTCATCACTCATGATGATGCCTTGCAAGGTGTGTATCTCAAGGGATGTCAGGAACTGCTGACAAGGGCTGGCAAGCTGTACAAGCAATGAGATTATTATTATTATTATTATCAAGTATTTGGCGTCACTTGTGCATGGGAGGCGAAAAGCAAACTGAATCACTGTAACCCTTGAGTCTCTCCTCCCGGTATAACTGATTGGGTGTGCAGGTGGACCATTACACGGGGGTTTCCCCCTACTCTTATACGAATAGTGCAGAGGGTTCTTAACGTGTAAAGGCGGTGACTCTCCTCTACACAGGTCCTCAATTTAACGTCCTATCCGAGGGACAGTTTACCCCTTAACATAGCCTGCGTCTATGAAACAATGGGAAGATAGGGATGGGATCCAATTTCCATTCAAAGTAGTTTTGTATGTAAACATCAGATGTTAAGACATGTAGTATGCTCAATCTACACATACAATTACAGTATACAAAACAAATGTCTTAGGTCACATTAGAACTTGGGAGGAAGGTATCTAAGAAGAGATCTTTGGCAGGTGGCGGGAAAAGTTGTCCCTCCACTACAAAGTGGAATGTTGTTCCATGTTTTTTGTCCTGCTATAGTAAGAGGAAATATATTTCAGTTGACGATATACTGAACTTGGCAGATTCGTCAATTATTCAGAAAAGATTACTACATATGGGCCCAGTAACATAACAAATTACAGTTGATCAAATCTTCTTCATAAGTCGTAAATTTAAAAAAAAATGAGTCTTTTGATTAAGTTTCTTTTTCAGATGGACACAATGCCAGGTAAGATGGGATTCCTTGCTGCAAGATTGGAGATACAACAGATTTTCACAATTGATTGTAAGTTGGTTTTTATGTTACAGGGCCCATGATTAGTTAAAGGGACAGTTGTGTTCTGTTTTCAAACCGCAAATGCCTTCAAAGTGCATGGTTATTGCTCTTATTCTTATCTATGACATTTCTAGAGCCCTTTTAGAACCTAAAATTGCTATGAAGGTAATTTTAAACCCCAAAATGTGTGAAATTTAGCCAATACGATCATACTAATTCAGCTCTACTTTCAAAAAAATATGGTGACCGTTCATTAATTATTTAATTAAAAATAACAATACATGGGCCGGCTGGTTGCGCGTAATATAACCAACATGACAATGCCAACAAAAAAGCAAACATCGACATCGGCTGAAATACGACGTAAAAGGCGCTATTTTGTTTTTTCAAATTATCTAATATTTGTGGTGGTACACAAGTATTAGAAATTGCTATATTTATGGATATTTCAGCCATCTCTGAACCGATTTTAATCAAACAAAGATGATTTTGTCATTTAAATTGTATGTTCTTTCAAATTTGACACTCAGTTTTTCATTATCTCACAAAAAAATTATTTTGTGTTGCGCCCTCTGCAACAGAACTCAACTATCCCTTTAAGGTTTACTTACTGGTACATTAGATGTAATAGATTCAGCTGGTTTATTCCTGGTGAGGCACTGAGTGAGAAGTTGACGTGATTCCCTCTCTGATATATTCATGATCAACTGGACCAACCCTTCATCGAACCTGATGAAGAAAAGATTATCAAACTGTCAGACACCATGCATGTACATGTACATGATTTCCAAGTGTATTTTCTCATTTTTAACCTGGGAATAAAGATATGATGAGTTTTCAAGTATGGCTACATGAATACAGCAGAAAGTAGGTGTTTTAGTCATGACAAAGGCAATAAGTTTCTCCGACAAAAAAACAAAGATCTTTTATACATATTGAAATTTGAACAGACACTTAAATCCGTTTGAGATTTTACGAGGTACAGTTATTGGTAAAATTCAACTTGAAAAAAAAAATCAATTATTCTGCACACATTACATGTTCAACCTTCCACACAAAGTAATGCCTTGCAATTATTACCAAAAGACTGCAATGCAACTGGTACTTTTAGAATTCACATTTCAAATGAATATACACAAAATCAGTCCAAAGAGTTATTAGCTGCATCCTTCCCAATAGGAGGCTCGTGGGTCTCCATCACTCAAAGGAGACATATCATCATCAAAATCATCATATTTATCATAAAAGTGTTGCTTACTTGTGAATGGAGGTCGCCTTGCAGGGAGTTTGTCTCAGTTGACGAGCTAGCTCCATCAGGATCATATCCCGGAGCTTCCCCAAGGAGGCCCGAGAGTCTCCCTCACTCAGGAGCTGACGAAGGAGACCGTTCATCTGATTGGCACCGTTGAAGAGCACCGAAAGGCCAGTCCTGTAAGATAATAATGAACAGTTAGAGCCAAAACATTCAAATGCTCATTAACTTGGTCAGCGGTACAGGCAATCTTGATATACATGTAATTTAAAAGTAAATGTATAAGGGGTAATTATAGTGCGCACTAAAAAAAAAAAAAAAAAAAAAAAAAAAAATATTTTTCCTCAATCACCCCCCCTTTGAGTAAAAAAATTGGGGAAAATAGGGAAAATGAGGGAGAAATTGGGAAAATAGGAGTAAAATCAGGAAGGAAAAAAAAAATCGGGAAACCGATTTAAATCGGCAATTATCAGGCCTGATGTATGCGATTAAGCAAGAGATATTTGGCCATTCATATTCATCATGCAGTACACATCTTCTTTGGGGATTGGAATTTCATTATTGTGTGCAAATATACATTCATGACTTTCACTATGGTGAGCTCAGAATAACATCAGATCCAATCACGCAACAATACAGAGACATAAATCTTAATTGTCAACTGTGATAGACCAGAGGTAGACTAGTGGTCTTCTAACTGGGATATCCAAAGTTTGAAAGTAGGTTGGTGCGCAAATTTCTGATAAATGGTCAGACAACATAAATCACCAAACACTGACGATTAAGGCTGAGTACACTCCCACCTACTTGAATACTCGGCGGCCATTTTTTTTTTTTTTTTGATAATATTTTATAAATGATTTTTTTATAATTTTTTTTACAAACCCCTATTTTGTTTTACACGGCAGGAAAAGTATTTGAGTACTTGTCGCAGCCTTACTAACGATACCGATGCTGTAACTTACTTGATGACATTACAGGCTTCGGTTATCAGTCTCTCAGCCCTGAACTTCTCATCTGTGGATGTCAGAAGACCCCAGACCAGTTTCCTTGGAGGGAAGAGTAAGAACAACATGGTAAAGATTAAAGCTATAGCATATCGTGGCAAGGAAATTTGTATACAAAAACCCTGTAAATATTAGCCCTGCCTAAAACCATGAAACATACCTTGCATAGGAACAACACAAATACATCTACATTTAAAGATGAAAAAGAGAGGGCAAATATTCTATGACAATATACAAGTTAACAATATCATAACATAACTGAATTGTCCGACTAGAATTCAGGAAAGCTGTAAAATAATACAAATAATAAAAAGGAATGTGCTGTATTGATTTTTTTCAAAAGCTTACCTGGTCCTTTCCAAGATGTTTCTCTCATCCAAGTGTTCTGGATTGAATGCATGTGACTTGAAGACAACCTGAGGAATAGATCATTGAAACAGAGAATATAAAGTTACTCTGTATTAAACATTGCCTCAGATTCTGAAACAAAATACTGGATTTAGCTCATGCTGCAATCAAAATTATAAATCTTTAGGTCAGTCAGGAATCCCTTGACTTTAACAAGCCAATCGCCTGTCTGATTATCAAGATATTTATGATTGAAATCGAAATGTCATTTTTTGTTTTCCTCACAGTTTTTATAACACTACAGTTTATTGGGGAAAATGAGTATGGTCAACACCGGTCACTCAAAGATTTTTTACTTTTTTGAGGCACTTCATGATCATTTGAAGCGCAATTTTTTGTAGGGCTTCAATATTCCACCACATCACAGACACTGATAACCACGCAGGGCCGTGCATCTCAGATTTAACATTGTTAAACGATGCCTTTAATCGCTATTTCTTGTAATAAAGTGACCATTCACTGGCAACGAAATATGATTTTGAACTCCCAAGAACCTCCTCTATATCCCATCTTGGATCATATTCATCATTCAATTAACAACTAAATTAGGCATACCTATTGTAAACTTGATATTTTTTTTGTTTTTCATAACTCAAGAATGAAAGGTGGACTGGTTGAATATCGGCCTTTGTTGAATAATTTAAGATGTAAGCTTTAATACGTCACATATTCAAGAAACGTAAATTGGGAGAAATAATTGTTTTCAAATACTTTGAAAAATAAAAAATCTTGGAAAGTGTGTGAATAATTTGGTGGTTAACTGTATGTACATATGGTCAAGTAAACACCTCTCCACAATCAAGTGATATACTGTTAGAAAAGATATGCCTTACAATTGTATTGACAAGCTGAATTTTGAAATACAATCGGTGGTATCATTTCTTTCAATCACTCATGAACGTTGGTCATCCCCTTCCAATAAATGTAAATCCGCTTCATGCAATCTTGACATTACATAGTATGATGAAAGCTAACTAGATTTGTAGCAATGGTATTGCAGAGTCACTGAGATGAAAAGTGAACTTGAAATAGAGACTCTGAAACAGAGAGAGAAAACCAATCGTTTATCAGCCTTTCAACACTGAACAGGCAGTGATGGGTCACCTCCTGCTGAAAACCATGCAGTCTATTGCTCATTTCTAGACCACATGGTCGAGGTCAACTGGCTGGATTTCAACGTCTATCGTTGAAAAGAATGGAAGACATCCTCTAATCAATAGGCCCAAAGAGGAAGTCGACAGGTCAAAGAGGAAATGGAAACAACACTTTCACTTCTTGAATGAACAGGACAGGTCAGCGTGGTCATTCTTAGGCCCAAAAGGCTGAACTAAAGTGTTTAATTACAAAAAGACATGGCAAAAGTACCCTACCTTGTCTTTTTTGTTTAAGAGCCTATCTGCACTAGTTTGGCCAGGAGGGATTAGACCTCCCTGCATGGTCACTGACAGGTGGTTATCTCATCAAATAAGCTCTCAATTAACATAAGAAAAAGGGGACCATGGGGGATCAATAGTCACTACTTAGGCATTGTTTGCTATATAGAGGGCGCAAGTAGCTATAAGTAGTACAGTTTTAAAGTTTTATCTAGACGGGGAGGGGGGGGGGGGGAGAAAGGCACTGCAGCAAGTGAGAGATCATAGAAGAGATTAAAGTGAAATGTTATGTCCATGTGGCCTCTAAAAAAAATGAAAAGTCTGCACAGTGATGGTAAGGACTCAAAATACAGTAAAAAATCTGTCTACAGAGACTACGGGAGACAGAAAAGATAGCCACTGTACAGCGGTGGCCTTTCCAAGCAGGTTCTGCAACACTCATTTCTTCTGAGAGAGAAACAATAAAGGTGATCACTTTATAGAGAAGTGGCCTTTACATGTGTGGCATATTCAAATATACAGTCAAACTTGTATACAAAGACCGCTCAATATAGTCGTGCATGAATTCTTCCGTCTACGGCTGATTGTCAACGAAAACGGAGTTAAGTCTTTTGTCAATTCTGCTTGTTGCTACGGCAGGCAGCAAGTGAAAACAAATTTGTTTAATAAAATTATGGAAATGCAAGCACTACTTCAAACAAACAGAACTTTGTCATTCCTTGCTCATTTTTCCTGATTGAGGTGTCATATAAAAGGGCAGAAACTCAACTTTCTAGAAATGTGATTTTCTCTTTGAAATTCAGGTCCTGTCTGCCAAATGACTTTGGTTTCCTCTCTTCAAATTCATTGTAATCACCCATGTGTGACATATGCATCATATGAGTTGCATCAAATAAAAGAGGAGGATCTAAGCTTTCCAAATATGTGTCATTTATTAATTATAAATGTGACTAAGTTATGTTAACAGACGGCAGTTAAAGCCCCACTGCACTACTTATACATGTGTAGCTAGCGCTCTCTATATACATGTAGCAAACAATGCCTAATCGGTGCCTGTCAGTCCCCCATGATACCCTTTTTCCAATGTTACTTAAGAGCTGATTTGATGAGATAACCACCTGTCAGTGACCTTGCAGGGAGGTCTAATCCCTCTTTGCCAAACTAGTGCAGACAGGCTTTAGAACAGCTTCTACTAGAAAACCTACCTGTAGAACAACCAGCATGCACTGGATGATAGGCAGGTTCCTTTCCTCCACTGCCTTCTCCAGTATGGCACACAGTCTCCTGAGATGGGTGATTGGGGGCGGGGTCGGGGCAGCCAGGAGTCTCCCCAGGGCGGGGCTCTGGTACATCTCGCTGTGTACGTTGTGACAGCTGGAGCTACCCACGTGGTGTAAGAGCAGACCCACCACCTCGGACACCTCCAGCATGTTATCTGTTGGGTGGGAATGGGTTAATAAAATTAGGAGATAAGAGATTGTGATTTCTTGAGAATGTTGCTTCAATCTAACCTGGTTTAGTGACCACCTGTCTACAAAGACCACATTTTTTTTCCCCTTGAAAATGGTTTCTCATTGAAACATGTACTAAAGGAACCTGTACATAAAGACCACTTTTCTCCCTTGGGTGCTCTTTATAGACAGGTTTCACTGTATTACTATTCTGGTAAAATTGTTATTGGGAGAGATTTTTTTTTTTTATCTTTAATAATATCAAAGCTAGAAATCCATGGAATAGAGAAATGATTCAAAATCATTCTGAATTGTTAATCTTGCCAAACGTATACCAGCGACTTGTAAAGTCATGTATATCTAACAAAACTTAATTAACGGCAATTGCATTCACTGGAATGGACATCTCTTGCGAGCACACATTTACCTTGTGGTGCTCTGTCTGTGAGGGGAGGTTGCGGTACACCAAGCTGCTTACAGACATGGTGAGTGGCTCGAAGCCCGGGATTCTGCCACTGATCCACCCAGTCTGGAGAACAAGTCCAGATTGCGTTGTTCAGCTCGTCATAGCAGATACCTAGAGAAGGAATGAAACATGATAATAATATTCCGCTTTATAAAGCGCTCAATACATCTACAATGGGTACCTGGTAGGAATTTATTCCTTGAAATGCTAGAGCGCCGTATGGCAGCAGTGCTAAAGCCAGGGCAATAATCGGGAGCGCCAGGAGGGTCTAATCTGACTGACATGAGCGCTATACAAGAACCCACTATTATAATTATTATTATTAATGTCTCTAAGCGCTTTACAGAGATATACTATTATTATGATGCAAATGGTCCCATATTGTTCTACTTATACATAGATCAATATATATATATGTGTGTGTGTGTGTGTGACATGTTTTGAAATCCATGCATGATCTACATCATGATATGGATATGGATATGATATGGATATTCTCGTGTTTACGTTTTCCTCAAAGGTTCATTGACGTACATGTACAAGGCAAATTCCTGGTAGATTTCGCTAGAACTATGTTTACAAACATACATGGTGAATTCCTTGTATGCTATTTTTAACACCTGTTCCGAGACGTTGCGCTCTTAATTTTGGCTCTACTTTTTCGGCTTGGCCGATTGGATAAGGTGTCGCTGGGCGTGTCGCCACAGTTGACTTAAATTTAATTAGGCAAATTTGGGAAATAGATTTGTATTACAATTGGAAGGGTTTTTCCTTGTTGCCGGGTCTGTTCACACTATCGAAATAGTATGAGAGAGGAAGTGAGGATTACAGGTGTGTAATAGCCAGAAGCATGTGGGCTCGCTAGTGTGGACGGACATAGCAACATTTATCCCTTTTTATATTCATTGAATTAATTTCCAGGGTTGTTGGGTCTCCGGGTGATTTGCATCTCTTGTTTGAAAGATTAGAATGTAAGAGACACAGGTGGGTGCGTGAAAGAAGTATGTGAGGAATAGAGATGCGGATCATCCGGAGCGCCTTATATCCGAGGGGGTAAATTCGCCAAGAAATATAGGACCTTTTAATAGGGAAACTAATTATGGGTGGATTGATATTACGCAAAGCGTCTGTGTGACACGCCTCAATTTTTGGGAGGACGAGGCGTGTCAGTTCGGGGGGATAAAAACCGAGTTGCGTCTCTGGAGCGGGACCTCTTTTCCGTTACGATACCGACATGAGTTGCTAATTTGCGTCAATTGGGTTGCCCAGCCCCAAAACATGAACTTCGTGATTTTATTAATTCTACGTTTATTTTAATAAATCTTCAACTCCAATCAAGAATTTGTTTTAGTGACTTTGATTTATCTTCGTTTTCTACACTTCAAGAACTAAAGTTATACTTTAACATTTTCTGAGTCGGTACTAGGCGGGGCGGCTTTGGCCACCGGGCCGTCTCGCCGTGGATCGCTTCAATTGGTAGCGTACGGATGGGGTGCGACACTTGTTCATTACTTCAACCATTACCATTGAACTTCAAGATATATTAGCGACGTCAGCGGAGAGCTGCAGAGATTTTTTTAGCTCACATCCGTCAACTAGTTATATGTGGATCTGTTGGGGTTGTCACGAGGACGGAGTCCAAGAACCCCTGGGCTTCGAACTAACTTTTTTTTTTTGTCGGCCGCTCAGCATCGGAGAGTATTGAGAGGAGTGAAATTTTCTTCTGCTGGTGGTTTCCTGACGAGGGGGCCCAGGAGCTAATTTCCGCAGAGCTACAGCGCGACGAAGCGACGGTGGAAGCGTAGCTGGTGATTCTTTTATGCTGGGAAAACGGTAGTACTTTAGGGCTGCGTGGGTGTCATCTTGAAGGGGCTCGCTGCTTGTGTCAGCGGAGAGGTGATATCGTCACTTCATTCATGGTCGGCGGCACATGCCTTCAGTGTTGCATGCTTGCATCGTTCCGGTGAATTAGAAGGCCGCGGTGCCGGGAAACTAGGTACGTTCAGCTGGTCTCGTAGCTGGTCTACGGGTTTTCTGCGTAGCCTAACGGTTCGTCCTGTGATCTCCGTAGACGTGAAGTCTTGCAGTCAACTACATCGACGCGACACAACATCATCGCCATCGAGAGGATCTGCAAGACTGTGTATTTACGGCGATCTAAGGCGTGTTCAGACATCACTAGGAGGGAGTATTTCTGAGGGTGACGGATGCAGGCAGCGGATTGACATCTCTGGTATGTCTTGAACTTAGAACACTTTATCTATATATGATAATTAATTCTATGCCTTGTTACGTATGGCATTATATACAATTAGATACGTCTTTTGATGTATACCATTACTCAGAACATTTAGTGTATTATCTGACGGCATAATTCATTAATTGACTGGTAAATTTATATAATCCTTGTAAACGAGAACAGTAGTGAAGGTGTGTTTTTTTCATATATACATATGGTAACTAAGAATATGGTTCTGGTTTCACTCTGGCTCGCCTAGTATACATCTCTTCCAAAAATTAAGGTAAGCAGTATTTAGTGGTTTTATGCTATATATGGTAACCGAGGTTGCATCCCTTGCCTTAATGTTTATATTAGACTAATTACTTAATAATATTTACAATAGATAATAATAATTATGGCTGAAGAGTTAAAGATTTGGTAACGGGTTTTACCGAAGCCCTACAGGGTATCCGGATTACACCTACTGGTAGGACAACCGCTAGGTTGGATAGATTTTCAGGGCAGGGTGGTATGTTATTAGAAGATTGGTTAGAAGAGGTTGACCTATATTGTGAACAGTCACAAATTTCAGAGACCCAAAAGGTCAGTGTGATCAAGGCTCATTTGGAGGGGCCGGCACGTAAAGAGTTACGATGTTATTCTGAAACACTAGATACAAATCAAATAGTTACTATTTTGCAGAACCACTTTGGTAAGACACAGACTGTACAGTCTCTGCAACAGGCCTTTTACGATCGTAATCATATCAATCCTCATCTGTTAAAGTACAATTAAATGCTTGTAGTTCCCCTGTACGTGTGCATAGTGACAATCCTGACCAACAGTCGTTTGCAGAGCCTAGCTCTTCTGGCATATTTCCATCTTACACAAAAGATCAGTTAATCCAAATGCAGAAAGAAGACCCCGAACTGAAGTTTGTATGGGAGCGGTGGTCCCAAAATTGGGCACCCGGTGATGAATACTTCAAACATCCTTCAGAACCTGATAATGTTAAATCATTGGTCTCGCCTTTCATTGAAAGATGGTTTGTTAGTAAGAAGAGTGCTAGACCCTGTATTTGGGGAGATATTCCAAGTTTTACTTCCTCAATGTTTACGTAAGAATGTGTTGGTAGGATGTCATGATGAATGGGGACATCAAGGTAGAAATAAGACCTATGAATTAATAAGATCTAGGGCCTTTTAGTATATATGTTGTATATGTTGGTTCCTAATTTTGATAAAGTAGGTATAGATCCAGTAGGGGAGAGTATATGTTGGTTCCTAATTTTGATAAAGTAGGTATAGATCCAGTAGGGGAGAGTATATGTTGGTTCCTAATTTTGATAAAGTAGGTATAGATCCAGTAGGGGAGAGTATATGTTGGTTCCTAATTTTGATAAAGTAGGTATAGATCCAGTAGGGGAGAGTATATGTTGGTTCCTAATTTTGATAAAGTAGGTATAGATCCAGTAGGGGAGGATGTAGCAGGGCGAGCGGGAGATGTTAATGTTCCAGGGAATCAGGATGGTGCCATCCCAAGAAGGTCGCAAAGACAAACTAAGGGTAGACATTCTAACCCTTTTAATTTACCAAAATCAGTTTTGCGCTGATTATCTACAAATTTTGAGATATTCTATGTACAGTCGGATATTTCGTATTTTTATTGAAGGGACCGTAATATTGACGGTTAATTATCACGGTAATTAGTCGTTTACATCAAATTGGAGAGTTAATAATTTTAATTATCAAACTTTTACTGTTTTAGGGCTGGGCACCCGTCCTGATTTTATTTGGGGTCATTTATGGTTATGGTGATTTTTGCCTAATTGCGTGCTGAAATTGGTTGTATATTCCATAGGTCTGCATATTACAAATTTTTATATTTTTCCAGTTACAAGTATCGTTGTCTATTCCAGTGTTCGGAGAAGGTGCATGTATTTTCACTAGTATATTTCAATTTTTACTCGTTTCTGATTACATATGGATGTTTACAAGTGGCAGGAGCAGTCCCAACAACCGGTTGGAGGAGGTCTGGGGTATCCGGCTCTGACCGCCGGGGTTGTGACACTTCCCTAAGCTTCGCAAACAGTTTCAGGCTATAATTACAAGTAGTTGGAGACATGATAGTGGTAGGTTTCATAGTCTGCTGTAGGGAAATTTGGGCGTTTTTGTTAACCATGCAGGAATAGGACACTCGAGGGATTTATAATAGGTTTTTGGATTAAAATTTTAATTTTGTTATTGCCTCTTTAGGCAGGACCACATAATTGGTCAATTATGTGGATGAAGAGAGGAGGGAAAAAGAAGGAAAATTTTAGAGTTTGAGGGTTTGTTTAATTGACTATTGAGTTAAGGTTGTGCATTTACTTGCAAAATATTGACATGCTGTTTTAATATGCAAAGGGTGTCATTAATGGGAGGTGATATTTCTAAGTATGTTTGAACTAGTGGGTATTTTTGTGAGTTGGATTACCAGTTTGATATGTGTGTTTATATATTGTAATTTGGAAGCCATGTTGGCTTTATATGATGTATATGAAGTTATTGTAGATGTTTTAGGGCTGGGCAGCCATGTACGTGTGTGTAACTTGGAGGGGAACGTATATATGACGAGAATTTTTTTTTTTTTTTTTTGCGATCTTATGGGACAGATCGTTTCAGTAGGGGAGTTTGTAATGATATGGATATTCTCGTGTTTACGTTTTCCTCAAAGGTTCATTGACGTACATGTACAAGGCAAATTCCTGGTAGATTTCGCTAGAACTATGTTTACAAACATACATGGTGAATTCCTTGTATGCTATTTTTAACACCTGTTCCGAGACGTTGCGCTCTTAATTTTGGCTCTACTTTTTCGGCTTGGCCGATTGGATTAGGTGTCGCTGGGCGTGTCGCCACAGTTGACTTAAATTTAATTAGGCAAATTTGGGAAATAGATTTGTATTACAATTGGAAGGGTTTTTCCTTGTTGCCGGGTCTGTTCACACTATCGAAATAGTATGAGAAAGGAAGTGAGGATTACAGGTGTGTAATAGCCAGAAGCATGTGGGCTCGCTAGTGTGGACGGACATAGCAACATTTATCCCTTTTTATATTCATTGAATTAATTTCCAGGGTTGTTGGGTCTCCGGGTGATTTGCATCTCTTGTTTGAAAGATTAGAATGTAAGAGACACAGGTGGGTGCGTGAAAGAAGTATGTGAGGAATAGAGATGCGGATCATCCGGAGCGCCTTATATCCGAGGGGGTAAATTCGCCAAGAAATATAGGACCTTTTAACCCTTACTGTACTGGGGGGGGGGGGGCCTGGGAGGCCCCCCCCTCGACATTTTCGGAGATTGCGCTGCAACCGCTTGGAATTTTTAATTGTCGTTTCATGACTTTTTTCCCTCAAGTCTTACGCACATTTTGATACCATTTTCGTCGAAATCGGATATACCTGTTAGGCGTTACATAACAATTAGTATGCGCATGTCATCAAAAAAAAAAAAAAAAAATGAAAATCGCACCAAAATTTGCATAAATTATCATTATTAATTACATTAAAATAACTTTTTTGTGTTAGAAAAGAAGTTTCATATGAATAATGAGTTTCAACATTCAAAAAGTGGAGTTTGACACGTTTTCGGTAAAATGCATAAAATTAGCGCATTTTGCATAATTAATTAGGCTAACGACAAAAATTTGCATATTCGGAAAAAACTAATTATACCATCTTGTTCCTTACGTAAATATCTACAAACATGCAAATTTTCGTGTTCATCGGACAATCGACGGCCGAGATCATAGGGGGGGGCCTCCCAGGCCCCCCCCCAGTCAGTGGGTGCTCAAAATAGCCCAGTACAGTAAGGGTTAATAGGGAAACTAATTATGGGTGGATTGATATTACGCAAAGCGTCTGTGTGACACGCCTCAATTTTTGGGAGGACGAGGCGTGTCAGTTCGGGGGGATAAAAACCGAGTTGCGTCTCTGGAGCGGGACCTCTTTTCCGTTACGATACCGACATGAGTTGCTAATTTGCGTCAATTGGGTTGCCCAGCCCCAAAACATGAACTTCGTGATTTTATTAATTCTACGTTTATTTTAATAAATCTTCAACTCCAATCAAGAATTTGTTTTAGTGACTTTGATTTATCTTCGTTTTCTACACTTCAAGAACTAAAGTTATACTTTAACATTTTCTGAGTCGGTACTAGGCGGGGCGGCTTTGGCCACCGGGCCGTCTCGCCGTGGATCGCTTCATTAAGTGTAAATATCTAACGGGATGCAAAATGTAGGCAATTGCTAAAATCCCTCCGCAGCTAATCACAGGTGTTTGAACAACTTGGAACTTAGAATATACATCCTGTAGATATCATCTTAGAGGGACAGGGACACATCCTTGACCCCTACATTGCACCTTGACATTCTATGACGCAGGTACGTCCATTCTATTACAAAGATGATGATAGTCCCTCCCCCCCCCCCTTCCCCCATCCCCCTACCCATATTGGCGTTTCAGAGGGACTGCATCGCTTCCTTCACCCAAACACCTGTGTAATATTAATCATTTTATTATCTTTATTTCTCACTTGTTTAATATTCCAGTTGAGGAGAATTTTTTTTTTAAAGCAGCTTAGCAGTGCTATTATCTTGGTATTTATCAACTAAACTCAATGACACTTTATGAGGCTTCTAGGAGTGTTTACCAAAACAAGAAATACGCTATAACTGTGTGAAAGCTATAAACATACGGATACCATGGATACGTTCAAGACATCTTTTAAAACGTATCTCTTTAATAAGAGGTGAATAAATCCTACACACACGTCCTTCTATTTAGAATATGACCATGCTGTGCAGAATATTACCGTGCAGTATATTTTCTTTTTCCTTACTAGTATTTACTTATTCTTTTTCATTTTTCCTACAGCGCGTAGAGATGTTAACAAATATATTATGCGCTTCATAAGAACTGTACAATCAATAGTATTATCATCATACATGTACTTCCTAACAAATTATTCTGATGCTGTTTATTACCTGCCAGTCAACTCTGTATCTAATTTATAAAGGTTCAATGTTCTACATCATCTTTCGCTGAAGCTCATTAACGCTTCTTTCTTTTTTAAATCTGTAATTCCAAACAATACCTTCACTCCTCTGTGATTCCAAGGAGATTTTCTTTGTTTTTGCAGAATAAATAATAATAATAATAATAATAATAATGATGATAATAACAATAATAATAATAATGATAATAATAACAATAATAGTAATAATGATAATAATAATAATAATAATAATAATAATAATAATAATAATGATAACAATAATAAGTGAAGGAAGTTGATTCCTACTTACCAAGACCTTGTACATTTGAACCCCTGGCAATAGCACATGCAGGGGCATCCATCAGCTCTAGCTTGCTGGTCAGGAGACCGTTTGAAAGATTGAAACAGATGCTTGTTGCCAATGCTGTATCAAATTTGAAGAAAAAGCAAAATTTGAATTAGCCCATGATAAAGCAGGTGAACAATGCTTGATAAGCTATCAGATTATCCAAGGTTTCATAGTGTAAATAAGAATCATAGTGCACAAACATCACAAATTGCGATTTCCTTTATACTGCATATTCATCTATAACGATTTTTTTTTAATGAGACTGATGTTGGACATTGCTAAATAAAGCTTTCCGGTATAACAAATACCGATGATCAAAATACTAGGAGGTAAATCATTTCATCGGTTTCATTACTTCATGCTGAAAATCAATTTGCTGGAAAGCCACTGTAAAATCATAATCATATGCAACATGAATTGTTTTGCAAATTGTTACCAACAGTCGTTTTCTTGGGAGGACACTGTTTAGTCAACTGTAAAAAAATTAAGTGTTGTGTTTCAGGTCTTTTATGTGGCATGAAACTTATGAGAAAATGTCCCTCAGTTCAAATAAGTAAAATTATTGTGTACGTGAAAGTTCAGTTTCTACAGTATACTAGTGAATTGTCAGCCATGCCTTGACGGCAGAAATTTAAATCAGTAAAAAATATAAACGGGGGCTCAGGGCGAATTAGCCCCAGAAATGCCCAAAAGAGCCCCCGAAAATCAGAAAAGAGCCCCCATAAATTTGCATAGAGTGCAAAACAAATTTCAGAGTGTTATTTTATGCAGGCAAGCTTGAAAAGTAGCCCCCGAAAAATAAATTTTAATTTTTTCCCTGATTTAAATATTCTGTTTTCCAACTCACTTCTGAGCCCACTAAGTCCTGCGGTAGTACTGAAGAGAGACCGAGTAGCTGAGCTGCTACCACCTCCAGGGGGTGACGTCACAATCACCACGCTACTGCCGCAGCAGTAGATAGGTGACCTTCGCAGGAGTTTCAGGGTCAAGCCACAGCTGGTAGTAGCTGTATAGAGACAACGCGAGGAGCATATGAGTTCAGACACATGTAAGCATCCTCTTTGTGGATACCATGAATAAATTGAAATCTATTTCGTTCTATAACTCATGTAACAAAATTCAAAATAGGATGTCCAAACATTGCCAATGGCATTAATAATAATAATAATAATAATAATTCATTTTTATATAGCGCTTAATACAAATGTCTCTAAGCGCTTTACAAATATACTAATACCCTGGCAGTTTTCACTAAAAACTATATTACAGAATTCATATGCTCTAATTCTTGATTTTTTTTGTTGTTGAATATTGATTTAAAGAAATTGGAATGACTGGGAGAAGGAAAGAAATACTTTGATATCTCCAACATTATATTTAGATTTTTAAGTTTTCTTAAATTTGGAAAGACAACAGGGAAGTGTTTCACAAAGTCTAAGGTCGCCTTTAAGTTGGACTTAACTATGGCAAGCCGTTCATGCCACTGTTTCCTCTCACCATTTACTGACATTGGTCTCTCAAGGGACGTACAAATCAAGGTCACAAATCTTCAGAATTAACCTTTCTTGATAGTTCATTATTGAAGGAAAAAATATTATCTAAAGATCATAATTGAGAGACCAATGGTGAGAGTAACCTGTGGCATGAATGGTCTGCCATAGTTAAGTCCAACTTAAAGTCGATCTTAGTCTTTGTGAAGCACCCCCCTGGATACTGTTAAAGCTAAAGCAATACTTACAGATCTCTTCCCTGCCGCCTGCATTGCCGTTGGAGTTGGTGAGTTGGGCTAGGGCAGCAGCGTTGCCCGGCCGAAATGTTCTCAGCCGTATGAGCAGAGGGTCCGTCACACCCCTCACTACGTCCTCGTTCCTTACTAGTACTACCGATGGTCTAAGTGGTTCAGCAACAACCACACCATCTTGCTCCTACAAAGATAGCATTAAATCAGTAATGATTCATGATGCAAATTGTCAACAAATCTCAATTGTTTAACATATACATGTATGAGATCTTGGGCCGGTGCAGTTTGAAGTCCTCCGATCAAACATAAATTTAAATGGCCTATCTAATATGTACAGAGTTGCAACTGATATCATGTGACCATAGATTATACATCACTATACATGTTAAACAAACTTTAAAATATGAGCAGTATATAATTCATCATGACTAAAAGAAAAGAAATACCTTAAAAGCAGATAGAGCCCACTCACGGAAAACAAGAAATATGGTCTTAATAAAGCAGCCAGTCTTCCAGTGCAGGTTTCAATGAGAAAACTTTTCAAATGAAACACAAAATGCGGTCATTTTAAACAGGTGGTCTTTCAATTAACCAGGTGGTCACTGAGGTAGTGAGCACTAAAAAAAAAAAGGGGGGGGGGGGTTTCCCTCAACCACGCCCCCAAAAATGGCTACTAACAAACATTCCCCCTCCCCCTTGTGAATAAGAAAATTTGGGGAAAATAGGGGAAAATAGGAAAGAATAGATAAAATAAGGGGAAAATCTGGAAAAACAGGATATAACCAAGAAGAAAAGGGGGAAGAAAAAAAATCAGATAAAAAAAGAAGAAAAAAAAATCGGGAAACCGATTTAAATCTGGTAATTACGGGCCTGTTTATCACAAAGAATGTTACCTTCAGGTTCAGAAGATCAGCTGTGACAGGTTGACCTTTGCCACTCTTGTCGGGACCAGGAGGGCACCAGACCCGATAGAAGTAGGTGCCGTCACTACAAAGCGAGACGGTGACCTGAGATGCATTAACCAGAGACTCAGGCATCTTCACATTACCTTCCACCTGTATTAAAGGAAAAGGGAGTATCCAAGGTGTAACTGTGGATCCTACTCAAAACCAGGGGCTAGTTTCTCAAAACCATCATAAGTCTAAGTTCGTGGACATCCCATAAAAACGTGTGTCAATTCGATAACACACATTTCAATGGAAGAATTTAGACTTATGACGGTTTCAAGAAACGATCCCCAGGGTTTTTCGCTAGCGCAAACATGTAACATCCTCTTTGCTAAAACCAAGAACATGGATTTTAGAGGGGGGAAAAGGCATGGGAATATTCTTCTTGACAAGGGTAAAGATAATTTGTTAATAAATCTGTCAATGCATACTTTCATCTCATAGGTTCCAAGTCACCACAGTGAGATAGTGACTTGAAAAAAAGCACTCCTCATAGTCTCATGCATCACTAGAAACTTGTCTATTTCACTATGGTGATGGTAAACACTTTTGTTATTTACTCTTCTGGGCATAAATATACTTTTTGACATTTTTCTCTATATTTTGGTCACTCAGTACAAAAGGCAAAAATTGCTCAATCAACTTAACCATTTGTTGTTTTTATTTGTTTGTTGTTGTTTTTTATTCCGAAATCGGATAAAAATATTATACATAGTAATATATACAAAATGAAATATTTATACATGTACATAGACAAAAATCGGTGGAAAGCCCAATTCAGTAGTGTTTATAGAACACTACTGTTCTTCCATGGGGTCCTTAAACCATGATACCTCAATATCAAGTATCAAGTATTGTCAGAAAGTAGATGGCAGTTATTCTACAAAGTTATGTTGATAATAAGGTCATTAAGTGTCAGCTACCAGTATTTCAGAAACAGAAATGAGGCACTGAATATATACGATTTTTTCTTTTTACTGCCAGAAAGGCGTTCAGTCTGTGTGGAAGTGTAGGAGTTAATGCCTTCTAGCTCTCAAAGGACGATATGTGAAGACATTATCCATTTAAGAATAAAGACTAAACTTGACCCTGTAACCGATCATCCGATCGTTGGCCAATCAGGTGAAATCGGATAGTAAATTCTGATCGCCGATCAATGAAAATGATCGGGGGAGAAATGCATTTTTTTCCATTGTCATTATAATCTAAGATGGCGGCTCGCATGTTTTGCCTCTTCTCTTAGACTAATATTATTGATTTTAAGGTCATGAAAAGGCACTTGATATCAACAAACATGGTCTACAACAACTCCAAACGACAAATTAATCCCAGCTTTGCATGTTTTTTTAGTATTTGATAGCCCAAACCTTAAATTTTCGGCATTAAAAAAATATTTCTGAAAAATTGAAAAATTGAACCGATACTTTTGGCCGATACCGATCAAAGGTGCTCAAACTAAACTCTATTACCTTGAGAGTATCTCTGTTGATAACCGACCCTAGGGATTCTGTCTTAGAGTCTGCCTCCAGAGGGCGGTGCAGCAGTATCTTGTCCGTACAAGCAATCCAGCCTACTGGAAGGTCAGGGTTACGAGTGTAGACAAAGCCTCTGAAGAACCACAAAAACATGGAACAAATTGGATAAGTGAAGAGCGAAAAACAACGAACTACATAAAGACTACTTCAATTGTGGTTCTAAAGCAAACAGATATGTTTCAGAATTATGTGAGATTTGTACAATAGAAAACATATTGTCATTGTCATTATTTTTGCCGACATCACTTGTCTTTTTCTGATTAACAGATTATTCCATCTTTTTCAGTGCATTGCTGGAATTTTGAGCTCAAATGGCATAAGATTTGAGGAACTCTTCATCACATAATGTGCATTCTCATTGTTAATCATACAATCAAAAAATAAACACGAAGCACTAAAAATCTCTTCATATTAAACAAGATGGCTAAAATGTTATTGCATTGCAACAGACTTGCCACTGCTAGTTTTCTCTTTCTTTTTCCAAGCTGAATTTATTTTCTGATTTGGGAAAAGTGTAAATGAATACAAGTAAAGCAACAGGACTGACATGGCCTCAAATGATGAAAACCTGCGAGTACATATTTGTACCTCTGCAAGAAGATATACAACGTGAAACATTTTTTACCTTGTAAAACTGTTAAAATGTCAAACAAATACTCATCAGATATCTTTTAATTTTTTTCAATTTTTTTTCTTCTATGCAATATCAAGAAATAATCAACAATGTAAATTTCCTGAATGCAGATAGATTCCCAATGACCCATTTCCCCCCTTTATATTCTTACATTCATGACAGACAATCAGTTAACATGTCCGGGGGGGGGGGGGGGGGGGGGGGTGTTTCACAAAGACTAAGATCGACTTTAAGTTGGACTTAACTATGGCAGGCCGTTCATGCCACGATTTGCTCTCACCATTATGATCTTTAGATAATATTTTTTCTTCAATAATGAATTATCAAAAAATATAAACTCTGTTAATTTGTGACCATGATTTGTACGGCCTTTGGGGGGACCAATGCCAGAAAATGGTGAAAGCAAACAGTGGCATGAACGGACTGCCATAGTTAAATCTATCTTAATGTTGATCTTAGTCTTTGTGAAACACTCCCAAGAAGTAAAGTGGTTTAACTGCAATGAGACTCACCTTAGCGTTCCATGTAATCCAGATCCAATCTTAGCAAGACCTTTCCCCCTTGCATTCGTACAGTACAGGAAGACACCGTCACAGGCCAAGCTTCTACCGATACTGGATTCTACAAGAAAATCATTTAAAGATAAAGTTGAGTTCCGGGCAAGCGATTGCACATAGCCGGACTTCTTCATGATTGAAAGATCTGCAGATATTTGGGGTCTATAATGATAATGATAATAATGAAGTCTTGTATAATAACGCTCATGTGTGGCACATTGCCACTCCTGGTGCTTCAATATTACACAGGTGCCCATTTACCTCATCTGGATAATAATAATAATAGCAATAATAGCCTAAAAGTCCACTCCAAATTTTATTAAACCGAAACGGAAATTCTTTTTGCCCAATTGATCGTGAGCCCGGCAGCCACTGAGCAGCGCCAGATCGACGTTGCTTGGCAAATACTGGCTAATGCCATCAACGTCTTCTTTTGAACAAATGCACGTAAATGAATGGACTTGATTAATGGTAGTCAGCGACTTAATCTCTACATTGTGAGCGCTATAGTTCGTAAAACAGACCAAAGTTCTCTTCAGTCCACAGGAAAGACATGTAGTCTTGTCATGCTACACTCCCTTTAATGTAGATTTAATGTTGTGACACATTACTAACTACAAACTGGTCTATTGGACTTTGGGTGGTCAATGGAAGCTGGGCAATCACTGATTTCGATCCCTGATTACAAGTATGGTGAATTCAACAACACCTACCTTTTTCTTTCTCTTTGTCCTCTGTTTTCTCCTCTTTCTCACCCAGCATATCCTCAAATCCCCAACACACAACGTGCCGGCTGCCATGGAGGTAGGAGGGGAGCCTGGCCCCCCTTCAAGCCTCAGGAGTCTCTGGAGAATGTCAGCTATGGGCAGTGGGCCTATGGATGGGGCAAGCTGTTGCAAGAGGTGGGTGGTGTGAATGAACGTTCCTGTAGAGCCCCTATATTATTACAGGTAAAGAAAAATTGAAATATTGTAAACAAAGTTGAAAAGTGAAAAGCAATTATTTTGCCAACATTCAATGAGAAATTGTAGTATACATTTTCATTTTGTTAAAGGCCATGAAAAATATTACTACTTTCTAAGTCCATTTCATTTTACTTGAGAAAAGTGTTCTGTGTAAATTATATATTTCCCTTTTATAGAACTGCTATGGGAGAAATGTTAACACATTTTTGTCAATAAAATACATTCCTCCATGTAAAACAAACACACAAACAAAATGCATTATTGACTTTTGTTACTTAACTGCCCAGTTTTCACATTAAATCATTATTTTATGTCTACACACAAAATACGCACTTTAAAGTCCTTATTCACATACAAACTTTGATGGAAAAAAATGTGAACCCCTCCGTAGGACCATAGCTATAAAACTTTGCATCGGAATGATCAGAAATTAAGGTTATATTTTACAGAATCAGTAGATCTATTATTGTAAAATGTAAAGCCAAAGCCAAAGGTAGGTGTTTTTTTTAACAGACTCATGAAGAATCACAAAAATTTATAACTTTATAACATTAAGTGAACCTAAATAATGTACTAATAATAATGACTCATGAGTAAAGCAATCAAATCATGGCCTATGTTCCAACGAATCCAAGTACCACAATCCGACCATATCTATTTTATCTTTTGTCCCTCTTGGATACAAACCTTGCGCAGGCAAATGCAACCAATGCAGAGGCAAGTAGCTGGCGTGGTAGTTGTTGAACATGTTGCTCTTCATGTGGTTCCACATTAGCTATCACATCAATCTCATCACTTTCACCAAGCCAGGAACTCAAAAGGTTTTCCAGTCCATCTAAACAGTCCGCTGGTTCTTTAGCAAGGCTCAGTGGAAGACAATCTCGAAGGCAATTAAGAAGCAGAACAGCAGTTTCACTGCTTAGCTCTGGATTTATTCTCTGCTGTGACCGAAGGAGTGGAAACAGGAGGAGTAATCCAAGTCTGCTTGAAAAGGCTGCTGGTTCAGCACCGTGCCAAGTGACTTTCTTCAGCAAGCTCAGGCCGCCAAGGCCGGCGGCGCTGGCCACTTCCTCTTCACTGAATGTCTCTCTTTCCAGCTGCTCCACATTATTAGATATTTGGCGATGGGCATTCCATAACCCTTTCAGTGCATTTAACCGGTATTCAAGAAGTCTTGAGTAAGCATATATATTGTTGTGTCTCTCACAAACAGAAACTAGCCTGTGACTCAATTCAGTTGGATTTTTCGTGTCGAAGGAAACGACTTCGTCAGAGCTGTTTTGCGGGCTTGCGTTGTTGATATGTTTTGGCAAGTTAACAAGATCGCTTACCCGCAATAAACCGTCATGTAAAAACAACGATTCTTCGTTCACTGATAGCCATTGCGTTGTATCTGTTACACAGTTTGAAGACATATTGAACACAGACCCGCAGACCTTCTCAGAAATGCCTCCATCTAGATGGCAAAAGAAGATTATGCAGTTACATTCCGCCGAAGTCTAACAACAGTATTTTTCATTGCACTGGAGGCAGCCATTTTGCTATGTTGTGAAAAAGGGGTTAGACTATTCCATTATCGAGGGAGGAAATAAGAGTTACGAAGGAGGAATTCAAATAGACTAAAAGTGAAGAAATATGATAGCAAAGATCCATCAAAATGATAATTTACAACTTAAAGAATGTTTTTGATCATTTATTACGTTCTCCCATTTTTACCCTCCCTTAAATAATTAACACTGTTAACTCACCAATCTCCTCTGAAATGGAGTAGTCACCTTATTAAAAGAGTAATATAAACAATATAATTCCATCTCCAACATGGAAATCCCATATGGTCTAGTGGTTAGGATCCGGCGCTCTCACCGCCGTGGCCCGGGTTCGATTCCCGGTGTGGGAACATCTCACATTTTTGTTTTTTCAATACATAATGAAAGGACTTTTCCTGCCCCTCCACATAAAAATAAGAAAACACAATATATCTACATCGAGTAAGGTTGATCATTATGTGATTCCACATTATCCTATTTTAGCAAGCCAGTAAAACTCAAGTTTACAGCTTTCCAGTCCTGCAATAAATATTTAAGAGCAAGTAACAAGTAATAATTGGCAAGAGCCTTATTTATGCAATATTTTGGTAGGTAAAAATGCAATAAAGTCTGTAAACAACGAAATCTGCAGCTTATGAGGTCTATATCTCACATTTAATTTTGGTATGAACATATCGCATCACAGAATTATTACAGGCTACACTCACTGAATTCTAATCCTAAGCCTAATCTTATTCATTATCATAACCCTAATTTTAAACCTATCCTATTCCTTAACCTAGCTAAACACCCAATCGCAATTACATCCATTATTTTAAGAAGTTTAGAGCAACATTTCATCAATCTGTTGGACAATATAATATGGGACGAATATTCATGATTGTATAAGTCATGAGGACCTGTACATTTTAAAGCTAATTAATAGAAGGCTCATTACACATGTTTTTCTTGATATATTCCTCTTACTTACCCTTCCTTTCTTTTTCTTTCATTCTTTTCTCACCTTTTGTTGATTCTTGCTCCTTGCTCCTATTCCTCACTCATCCCTTCTTCCTTTCCATACTCATTGAATTTTGATAGAGAGTTTTAATATATTTTTTATATATATTATGTCATAGTCCTAAGACTATTGTAGTAATAAAACCCTTCTATATATATATATATGATGAGTGCTATTTAAATGATTTGTTTTTGTTAAATTCATAGGCAAAAGAGAAGGCCTTAATTTTGCTCAGTGTCCGGAGCCGGACACAAAAAGCCTGAAGCCATTGTCGCCAGAGGAAATGTGCAAGCACTGTAATTTCACCTTGGCGTAGTTTACTTAAAGGTCCATAATCTTCTAATTCACTAAAACCCAACCTCTGTGTCTTAGATCATGTTTAACAAAAGATAACTTAGACCTACATGCCCCCATGCATATATTTCACCGAGACCACAGACCGAAACTGAAATAAAATGGCATGCAATATTTATTACACGTTTTGTGTATATAAAATTTTGGGTACCAGTATTTGCAATCTCATGCTTTTCTTCTCTGAAGTCAACCACATTGAATTTACCTTCCACATCAAATGTGCGCGTCTATAGAACATTGGAAACAATGGGTATTCCCAGTTAAGTATGGACATGGTGGATGCGCGGTCTACTTTACTTTTGAACGCAATATACCGTGCAACAAGATATGCTACATTGCATGTTTGCACATATCTTTCAAGTCATGTGTCATGTGATAGCTTTTCAGCCAATGGGATACTCTTGAGTACTCTCCAATAACGAACCTATTTTATACAGACCACCTGTCTACAAAGACCACATTTTTTGTTCCCTTGAAAATGATTTCTCATTGAAACATGTACTAAGAAACCTGTCTACAAAGACTACTTTTTGTGTTTCCCTTGTATTGGGCGGTTAATACAGGTTTGACTGTATCACAAATTTTCGAGTGTCATGGAACACCTTTTTAGCAAAAAGGATACTCGCTAAACAAATCTATGGCTGCCTATAAGGCCATTATGTATGTATTGTTGATGGCACTATAACAGCCTTTATGGGGGCAACCAATGAATGAATGAAATATCCCATTTCTATCAGCTACATATATATATACATATATCCATTTTAATGACCTACAGATAACCCTGCATACCTCAATCGCAATTGTGTTGGACCAAATTATGTTAAACATGTTATTTAATTATGCATAATTCAACTATTTATCGCGGTCCCAACGGATTCAACTCGTGCTTCACTCACTCACACTGCAATGAAATAAGTAGACTTTAATTCTTTACAGTTTACATACATATAAAAGGAAATCTGAAGAAAGAATAACGAACAATCAAACAGCAAAGTAAGTCTCAGCTTGTTTTATTCGGTAATATTTTCTTGAGAGTAAATCAACAGCTTCGATAAGCTCCATTCACATGCTCTTATTCTACTGATAATTCCAAGTTTTAAAAAAAATGAATAGAACCTTTTATTATATCAATCAAATCATCTTCTTTTTTCTTTGACCGACAGGTGCATAGATGAATTAAGCTAAAAAATGAAGATGGGAAGTGAAGTTACAACTTAAGGTTCGTAAATTCATCGTTGGCCAGGCTACACATGGATATGGGATGTACATTTCCTCTTGTATTTCAACGTTTACCTCAAAATGGATCCTTGTAAATTGTAATCATTATCTAAGAAACAGCACACCTCTGACTGATTGATTGGCAATAATTCACGGCCTTCTTGTACCGAGAACACTACATATGCATGGGGGGCTAATACTATTTAATAACTGTTACTGACGGGAATACATGTATTGTCTGTTTGCAGCCAGAAGGACATACAATTCAGAACACAGACTTAATGCCCTTCTGGCTCTGAACAGACGATATACTCAAGTCATATTTGATTTCGGAATAAAGCTCCAGTGAATACACAGCATTTCCTTTCATGGACAGATCAGTATAATTTTTTTTTTCTTTCTTTGCAGTCGAGTAATCTAATTTGTTATCCCCCTCCCACCTCACATCTGCTATGCATCACTAAAATTGATTGAATTCCTGCATGTTGTTGAAAGGTTTACTCTTGGAAATATTTAAAGAGACAGGAACAAATGCTGGAGAACATTGATACACATGGATAAATCATGAGTTTTCACCATATCTGTAGTCTTTTTAGGTTACTGGAGATTTGCAATTTAACAGAAATTCTCTCAATTTTCACAACAATATTTAGTCTACATTCACAATTAATTCATGAACATCTTGAATTTTTAGGTCTACAATCAACCTCAACATGCCATGGACCACCAAAACTATGTCTACATGGATTTTTGTCTTCTTCTTCTGAAATTGCTGTTTGAAAAAATGAAATATTCTTTTAGAGTTTGAGCCTCCTTTAATACTAATGTTTATTCTACTTTATTCTTGCTCTCATTATCTCTCTACTTAAGTGGGTGAGGATTTACAATACACAAAACCTTCTTCTGTGTGTGCCTTTACTTAGAAACAGAAAGTTACATCAACTCCAAAAAGAAATCCCAGTGCAAGGTACCAAGCACACCAGTCATGCAATAGATATAAGATTACCGCATCCTAATTGAAAACGTTACTTTACTGGGGGGGGGGGGATTTAAACCGAATGTTTAAAATTTACTATCTTGCATTAAGTATCATTAAAACTGTTATAAAAATATTGTAATTTCATTGAAAGATGCAGGATTCATATTTCCTTATTCACAATATAATTTTATCGCAAACCGTTACTGACATATCTTAATGAAGGTAAGGGTAGAGGTGTGAAGCAAATCAGTCAAGGAACATGCACAACACATGTCCCTTTCAAATAAACAAAATATAAACAAAATAGTAGAATGGCAGAAATAGGACAATTAATTACTCCAACGATACAAAACAAAACACATCAAATGTGGCCAACTACATATTTGACAAACACAAAATATGTGTGATCAAAATGCTATAGAGTATGGTCTTCCACATTTTTATTCCAAATTTTAACTTTCTATCATATCATGGCTTAGAACGTTCCAAACTGAACAAAATGAAATGAGACCAAGCTGAGACTGTACCGACCAACCCTACCCAAAAACGTCGAAACCCTTTGTGGTTTTCCTTTTTTATTATAGAAAGAATACTTCTTCTCATCTTCCTAGCCAACATTCCTCCTCTCCTGATCCCCGAGGAGCAATTGGGGGAGTTGTAATGCCATGTGCACTGCAGTAGTTCATCCCAAAGTGGGTTTTTTTTTTTTGTATTGCACTACTGGTGCCAGGCAGTACTTTATGGTTCACCCTCCTCACTTGTGCAAAGTTTGGTCTTTATCTCCACATATTTAGTGATATCTTATACAAACTAGGATTGAGCAGGCAAATGCTAATCATCATCGCTTCGCATACCCCTTTCCCCATTTGATATTATATCAGTGTTATTATCATCATCTCCCTGTATTAAATATTCTTTTATTTCCCTTTTTTTATTTTTAAAGAGTCAAATAGATTAGTATCAGATATATAATGACCCATTTACTTTGGTTGTGGTTACACAATGTTAATCTTCACTCACAACCTGAACAGCTACAATCGCAGCATAAAAACATTTTTATAATAACACTTCATCATTTTTGTATCTTTTTCATAAGTGTACTTTTGTAATCTCTGTATATATCTGTAATATCTGGGGATTGCATGCTATGATGTCAGATTATTCCCCAGATATATTTTCAGGTAATTTAAAATGCCAAAATAAATATGAAAGTTTTGTGAAATTTCATAATATTCCCCCAATACCATACCAATGCAAAAGGGAATGATCCTTCGTTTATAAATACAAGAACTTCAACTTTACGTCATAAAATTTCTCCACATATTTAGTGACATCTTATACAAACTTGGTAGAGATTAAAATGTATCACTTTGCATCATCCTCTTAAAAGATCTCCTCTCTTCATCCTTTACTATCATCACATATTTAAGAGGAAGGCCAATTTAAAAGCATTCTCGGTAAATGCATTGTTTGGCTAAAAGGTATCATATATATCGTTATAATCTTTGAAAACAGGTTATTTTTTTTTCCTTTTATCATAGTTTTTTTCTTTGCTCGTCTCCTCCTTCACCTGCAAGCACAGCCTCGAAGCAGAGTCTGGATGACTTTCGTCACCTCAACATCATCATCATCATGCAGTAAACTGCGTGTTCATTTAGCTTGCATTATGTTCAAATCTCATCCAATGCCTGTCATTTCTATCAAGTCAACTTTTAGCTGGTTGCAAGCAATCCCCGTCCTTTTTTAATGAAAACATAGGGTTCTGAAGAAGTTCTCCTCCATCGAGCTCGACTCCTTTAGTCCCGCTACACTAATCCATCCAGTACTTCTTGGCATCTCACTCATTCCATAGCGACAGACGCTACTTGGCACTCCAGTCGGCAAACTGATCACAATTAAATGTCCTGTGGCAGCAGCAGCACATCGGAATCCTGTTCCGATCACACGATGCTGTCACAATTGCTACAGTTCACTTCGCGAAACGTCCTGGAATGCACAGCAATGAATAGAGACCAAAGCAAAGACAAGATCCACGAGCCAGCAATCATTTTGTTTGCTCGACCGGTAGTCTCGAATCACGTACAAGCAGCAATGTCAGCTGTCATACTCAAGTTTCAAATGCAGCATTCTTTTTTACTTGTCACAACTTGAAATCCTGGATCAAGTTTTAAACTGCATTTTCTGGAGAAAAAGAAAAAAATAAACAGAAAGACACGGTCAAAACTCAGAATCAAATATATGCAAAAACAAATGGCGAGTATTCAACATATCAAAAATGCTGAAATGGGAGCAATGCAATTTCAAATATAATTTTTTTGATAGGATGAAATGGGTATTGCCTTTTTTCCTAGGATGTAAGTGACAGGTACACTTTTAGCAGTTACTTCATCTTATTTCTCAATGCTCTCCCCTGTATATTCAATTTTATACTCTTGATTTACTTCTAAACACTTTTTTCCTTTGCAGGCAAAATGGTTTAATAGAATAAAGAAATGGGGTATTTAACAAGCATGTATAAGGCACAATTCCCTCAAAAACAAATCTTATCTTAAAACTTTTCAGTACTTTCTTATATACTGATATATTTAGGACATGCAATGAATGGTGAGCAATAATACTTGATTTATGAACTTAGATTTGAACACATAACTTACATTGACTCGTTTCCATAAATAATGTCAAAAATCTCTTCAATTATTGGGCTGAAATTGTTGCACTTGAGCTTGTTGTATTTGACCTGGATATAGAGAAACAAGAGAGTATAGGGGGATATTTTCAACATTCATCACAATCCAAAATATACTTTAATGAGGTGAAATATCATGATACAAAACATAACATACATACATGTTATTTCTCGAATAACTCATTTGCTGCCAGAAAACATTAAAAATTGACAATAATAAATTAAAAACAAGCTTTTTTCTTTCTATGATACATACATTGTATGCCTATACAGCGATTCACATTAAGAATAAAATAACAATTGATTAAAATGACATTTAGTTTAGATGCATTTTTTGTCACTGGAAAACATTAAATCACTTCAAATATGGCAAACAAATATTTTATTGAAATATTTTTGATGATCAGTGGTAGAAGTTGGTTTGTTTGGGCGATGTTCTTTCTACTGACCTGGTGGCGTCTGCATGTACGGGCCTTGGACCGGGGATGAGAGTATCGACTGCTGACCATGCTGACCATGGATGTTGATGGGTAGACTCTGCTGACCGCCTCCCCCATGCTGACCCTGGGAGTTGGTAAGGAAGACTGGCTTGGGGTGTGGGTGCGGCGCCGAGTGCACGGGGGTCACGTTGGTGATGTTGGTCACCGCGTGGGGCGTGTGGGTGTACTGGTGGAGGACCGGCTGGGGGTGCGGGTGCGCGTGCATGGGTTGCATCATGTTCTGCTGCTGGTTGTGGTTGTTGGTGCCGTGGGGGGTGCCGCCGGTGCCGCCACCCTGCTGCTGGTTGACGGCGGCCATGGCAGCCATCATCTGATGGTTCTGCTGCTGCGGCTGACCCATGGCCTGCAGGTTTTGTGGATGGAATTGCTGATGTTGCTGCTGATGAGGCTGTTGTTGCTGCAAAAAACATATTGAGAAGTTTTGTTTGAAAGATAATGATTCCCACATTGATGTTTTATCTTTAGAAATGCTACCTCTTATGGTGAACTGTCGACTATTACACAGGAGATACTACTTGGATTACAAATCAAAATACAAATTTACAACAAAATCAAATTTACAAAACATGGACTTCAACAAAAGGAGAAATCTCATATTTATGGCAAATCATAATTTTTTTTCACAAATTGACTTGAATATGGTATAAGGGTTCTCTTCCACCTCCAACAAAGAAATAACCGTCTTTCGTCTTTGTACTAAGCTTTTTGCCAACATAACATGAAAAGCATTTTCTTTCTTCCACGATTACAAGGGACCAATAATGTACAAGCTGCTCGATGTAGCCTTGAAGTTGAACCCTTGTGATATAGGGTTCTGGTAGGTGGGGACATACTAGCAACAGGTATGAAAGCTGAACAAACCTGTTGGTTGGCCTGATGCATAGCTGCCGGATTGACGGGGCTTGGCGACGGCCTCCCCCCATGGGCGGGCTGAGGCTGCTGCATCACGTTGCCCTGGTTCTGCCCCTGAGGGGTGTGGGAGAGGGGAGGCGTGGTGTGCTGCTGGCTGTGGGGGTGCTGTTGATGGGACTGCTGATGGGGTTGATGGTGCTGGTATTGGACCGTGGGGTTCTGGTGATGCTGGGGCTGGGGCTGGGTGAACTGGTGGTAGGGGGTGGGCATCTGAGTAGGCGTCTGCTGCGAGATGGGGATGTTTCCAGAGTGCTGGAAATTATTCATACCAGCAGCTGTAAAAAGAAAAAGAAACAATTCCCAAGTCTTTAGAGTCGCGGACGTATAACAACTGCTGGATGGAAAGGTATATCTTGTAAACAATATCAAATAAACGGGACTATGCTCTACCTCCTTTGAGACATTCACTATGCATCCATATGGTAGTGATATTGATAATTTCACTGCCCAACTTCAATTTTCAAATGATGTAAATATACTGTTTCTTCTGGAAGTAAACCTTTTTTTCTTCTGCAAGCTAAAAAAGAAATACTAATGAATGAAACTAATCAAATGAATGCTTCAGTCTTTCCGGCCAAAGCTAAATGAAAGAAAAAGTAGGATGCAATACACTTTTTTTGATTCTGTAGTTTTTAAACTTTGGAACTAATGAGCAATTTGAGCAATTTGAGAAATAGTGATGACAATAATGATGTAAAAAACTTACATTTTCCACAATTTCTTTTGCTTAATAATAAATAATAATAATGATAATAATATTGGGTTCTAGAATAGCGCTCATGTCAGTCAGTAATAGTGTATTTATTTATTTATCTATTGATTTATTATTATCTTCCCCCCCCCCTTTTTTTTTGGGGGGGGGGGGAGGGGTGTTAACAACAAGTCTGGTTTAATGAATAGGATAAGGCATCAATCAGTGATAAAATTAATCCTTACCACAAGGACATAAGCTGTAGGTTCCCTAGATCCTTACCTACTAAAAAACAGGTATAATTAGGAATGCTACTTACGAATCATCTGTGGAAAGACCATGACCGGTTGTGCGTCCTGTGATAACTGATGCTGGTTATGACCCCCAGGTTGACCTGCTGCAACCATGTTCTGGGGGGTTGCTAACCTTGGACCCATCGCCTAGAAGAAGAAAAAAAATATCAACAAATAAGTGAAAGTCCACCACTCACAAGTTTGAGTTTAAAGCAAAGTGAGATCTTTCAATGCTTTTATGGCATGTATGGCATGTATGGCATGTAGCCATTTATCATAACAATTGTCTAGGATGATGCCAAATCTTTAAAGTGACTCTGTAATATTGTTGAAGTTTGATTAAAAACTGGGTAAATTTTGAATGATATGTTACTTATTGTTTTCCTTTTACTGTACTAACCCTCTAACATGCAACAAATTTTTCCAACCTTTTTCTAAGAAAATAAGACATAAGACAGGCTTTTAAAAATCTTTTAACGCTTAAATGACAGGAATGGTATATAGAGCCAATTTATTTTTTTTGTGACGATTTACATTCACCTCAAATTAAATTAAATGGTAATAATATAGTTGGGAGAATTTTGGAATCGATCAGATCAGTTTATCTTGATTTTTATCATAAATAATGGTCCGTTTTCACTCAAACTTAATCTTTAATTGTACGTCTAGCGTTGAAGTCACTACCTTAGCACCATTTTCTCTCATCTAAACAATGTTACCAAGTTTTACCTTCTGTTGATGGACGTTGTAGACGTACGCGTTTGGATTGTGACTTATGACCTGGGCGTGATTGATGGGTTGAGCACTGGACACGGGACCACCAGGGCCGGCCTGGTGCGTAGCAAAGGGTAGCATGGTGGGGACCGGGGCCACCAAGGGCTGGCCAGCAGCCATCGACACCGGTAAGATATGTTGAATGTCTTGATGATTGTGCGCTCTCATCTGTGGTAGATTTGTGGCACCTAAATTCAAGATTCAAGATATAAGATAATTTATTGTCTGATTTAAAAAATACAGAAATTGGTCCTCCACTGGCGAGTGACATACTTATACAAGCAACATAAACAATATGCATACATTTGAAGAAACAAAGAAAATATAAAAATAATAATAATAACAATAATAGCATAATAGCAATAACAAAACTGACATGTAAATTTGAGAACTGGCATCAGAAATTGAATCTCGACAATGCACAGAATGCATGAAATAAAATTGCTCTCAAATTATAATAATGATAATATTCTGGATTTATGAAATGCCTCTTACATCTACATGTATGATGTCTCTAAATGCTTTACAGATGTAATGTTTAAAATCAATGAATAAATTAGTTGCACTTTTCAAAGAAAATATCTTTGTCATAATGAGTAGGGGAAACCCCTGTGGATGAAAACACAGTAATTCCAAGAGAGACAAGGGTCATCGTGATTCACTTCATTTTCCCACTAGCATGTACAGGTTATACTGCATGAATTGCACATGCTAAGAATGTATAAGAGTTATACTAATACTCAAGAGTGAGACTCACAGTTCAAACTTGAATGTTAAAATTTGGGATAATTAATCTAAGAACAGGATTTGCACTTTGACCCTTTTAGAGTTAACCCCAAGTTTACAAAGCTCAATCAAACTTAATTATGAAACATAGTTTTGGGAAATTTTGAAAATTGGGTGGATAGAGATTCTTTACAACTTTGATATATTTGGATGCCCCTGTGGATGTATTATAAGCATTAGAAATTTTAGCCCCCTTAAACCCTTCTGCTTTCGATAAAAATTGAATATAAATATTTACCGGTGCTCCTGGTAAATTTTGATATATTTCAAAATCCGCCTACATCCGTACAATGATACAGTAGCTGCAACCATGAAAATCTCAGAATACGTAGTTGTGTTATATAATTTCCAAACAGGAATAGCTAAATGGTCGATTTTAGTCAAGAAACATTGTTTGATAGCTTAATTAATATCTTGACCTTGAGAGGGAGCTATACAACATAAAGAGTTTATTATTTAATAACTTAAGACTCGATTTCCACCGCGACAACTATCACTGACTATTGTAGGATCGCATATGCTTCCCATATGTTCATTTGAACCATATTCATGACCCCATACCAAAACTTTGTATTACCTTTAAGCTAAGAGTTTATGAAAGAAGATTATGTTCACATAATGATTTTAAGCCATACATAGGCCTTGGCAAACTAGTGTCCACTTCAAATGATCAAGTCAAGTCAATGAAACAATAATATAAATTAATAAAATTTGGTCCATAACGTTACCTTTCCTTGGTCCCACTCCCCTGAGTTGGGTGTAGTGTAAACCAGCTGGCGGGATTGATATCTGCTGGAAGATGGGTTGATTGAGCTGATGGGTATACTGGCCCGGAATGACCTGGGGTGCTGGGCTGGGCTGGGAGGGAGGGCGAGGAGGGGTAGGTGTCTTCTGCGGCTGCATCCTCTGCTGCAGGGAGGTAATGAGAAAGAAATATTTAAAAAATTTCAAGCTTGCTTGCTTGCATCAAAATAACGCTCTTTACTTTGTTTTGCATTGAACTCTATGCAAATTATGGGGGGCTCTTTTATGACTTTCAAGGGCTCTTTTTGGCGTTTCGGGGGCTAATTTGCCCAGAGCCCCTGTGTATTTTTTCTGTTTGATTTTTTTTTTTTAAATGTAAGAACGTGCTCTTCCTGAGACAAGATAACAGTATCTCTTGTTTTCAACACAACAAACGTGACATAGTCTTGCTTTGGATATAAAAATATCCTCTCTTTTTTTTTTTTTACTGTGAAATATATTCTGGTACTATTCATTAGAGGTGAAAGATATTTTCGATGGTGAATAAACCAAATGACCTAGAGACACTTAAAACCACTGCCATCACCTTAAAACCTTCATATAAACAATTGAATCCAAACACAACTATGGATAAATTATTCAAAAACAGACATACATGTACAACTTTCGGAAATCTTAAGCATTTGATCTATTTTTTTAATGAAATAATCCAGTTTCTTTTGTAGCTGGAACTATCTCTTGAAATAACACCCACACGAAAATGCAATAAAAAAAATAGCATCACTCACTGCAACTGGAACAAATGGTTTGGCCAATGGGTTGAATTCCTTTGCATTTGGATTGAGTGTCGACTTCTTGATCCTGTAATTTACACACATGTATAGATATTAGACTTAGATACCAAGTAAAATCATTGCACAGTCATCATCAACAATCCATTTGAAAGATTTTTTTTTTCTTTCAAATATCCACTCTCTCTCAGTTTATTGCAAGTTTCATTGAACACTTTCAGCCTTTATTTTAAGAATCGTTATCACGAATATCCACGATCCAGAAATTCTGGGGAAGATGATATATATATTCTGAGCTTTGATAGTACTAATGTCTAGCGCTAGAATAATGTTTAACTTCCCAAAAGTAATTGAAGAGTAATTTAAAATTTAATATCAAAACTTAGCTCTCGCAGGTACTATCTAAAACACCTGGGTAGACACAATGCATCGTCAAAGGACAATCTATTTTTGACCTTGAATAATACATCTGATCTACGCCTATATCATACATTGCATTCCTATGTACATTTTCATTATTATTATCATGCTTATTAAGTTATAAGTTGTTGATTTTCATTTCATGTAATGCATTTAGAAACTATGTGTATATTAAGTGTTATATATGTTAATTACAATCATTATTATTCTAATTATACACTAGACTAAGGAGATAGACTTACGCCTCTGCCTCTTTCTTCTCTTCTGCAGTCAGTGGCGTTGAAGTTGTTATTTTGTCCAATGTGGCAGTTGCAGCCACTGCTGAGGTGGCAGGCTTCTGTGTTGCGGCAACAACAGGGGCACCTGAGGAACTGCCAGGGGCAGGCGTCACAGGTTCACCCGATGTTGCTGATGGTGGTGGTGCAGCAGCTACAACACCGGCTTTGGGTTGTTGTTGTTGTTGCTCTTGAGGTGGTTGGTTTGGTGTGGTAGCCCCCTGAGTGTTGGTTTGTGCCGTGGGTGTTGCTGCCTTGTCCTTGTCTTGCAGCTGTTGGGAAATAAAATGATTCAGCTGAAGACCTTGTGCTCGTTTCTGTGTTGTTGTTTTTTGCACAATCGATTCGAGCTAACCTCTTAAAGATAGTCCTTTTTGCAGCCAACATCAAATTCTGTAGAACTTTGCAGGAATTATGAATATGTCATGTATGTCCTATCTGTGAAATTTAAACGTTAGCAGTGTCCTAATATTCAAATTATGCAAGGAAACCTGTTTACTTGCTAGACACTGTTGAGTGACTGACTGGCTTTTTTTCTTCTTTGGTAAGAACATACATAAAATGAGCTGTAAAGGGTACATGACAATTTTGTCTACACCATAATGGCCAAAATTAAACTGATTGAATCTTTGAGCAGCACAAAACGTACGACCATTTGGTACAATGGTCTGAAAATCAGACTATTACTTATTGACTTGGTAGCACTTAAGTCGATTCGACAACTAATAGTTGTTATTTTCCAAAATGAAGACATTTTCAAGCCCTCTTTTTTTATAGAGAAGTTCTAAATTAGTATAACGGTCCTTTGATTACTCACCATAAAATTATCTCCAAACTCCTTCAAATGTTCTATCGTTTGCTCTAAAATAAAAAAATAGCAAGCAGAAGGAAAACATCAAATTAGTGAATAGACAAATGCAAAGCAACCAAACCCCTACGCAGCTGTAAATTTGTTAGATAAGTTAGTAGCACTGAAGATGGATACGTGTATAAGAATGTGACTATATTCGTAAAGATTCCTTAAAATCCTTGTCTTAAGGTATGAAGAATGGTTAGAAAGTCATCACCTTCTTATTACCAATTCCACAAAGAAATAATACTTTTAATATACTTGTTTATTAAAATGATTATGTGCTTTTTCTATCATCATCTGCAATATATTTCAGGAAAAAAAAAGAGGTACCTATGGTTCAAAACAGTAGTAGTACCATGAAGACCTCGAAATAGGAAATTATTCCTACAGAATAGGGATGATGGGTAGTTACGTATAAGGGTAATACGACTCACTTTTACTTGAATCGTTAATGCTGGCCCTGGGACTCCTGTCCATGGGTGGAATAATCCTCTGAGCCTGAGATACTTCTGGTGTCTTCTTATCTACATCTTGAGGTCCAGCCCCTGTCTTATCAACTGAAGGTCACAACGAGAAAGGGGTAGTAGATGAATTCATTAGTTTCCATACCAGGGCTACGTCTTACAAAGAGTTGATAGCAATCGCAACTTACTTGCAATCGATATCAATCGCAACTTTGTACATAAGAGATAAGAGACTGCAAAGTTGCGATTGATTGGAGGACTTGCGATTGATTTGGATCAATCCTAAATCTTTGTAAGACGGGTACACACTACCAAAAAATAGTACAACTGTTTATAGCAGTTAAGTTCAGTGTTTGTAAAATGTAAAAGGACATTCATTCTCGGATAGCAAAACAAAATATGTTTAGAATCAACATGCCAGCTCTGTGTTATATTGAGAGTCACAGTGAGAGAATTGGTGATGCTAAAAGAGATGTTCAAAGAAATCAAGAAATAAAACTGTATAGTATTCCAGAATCAGCTACAAATTCTGCATTTTTATATGATGAGAAGAGTGATACTGCGTTAGAGTTAGAAAAAGTCCACCCGTCATATTATACTTAAAAAAGAGACTTTGCTCAGATTTCTAAAACTTTTTTTTTGTTAACTCTCACTAAAACCTTTATTTTTTAAACTCTCACAATCACCCCTGAAATACAGGCAACCAAAAACCTCTCACAGGGTTTTGGTTTCAGATAACATTCACTTTACAAATTAATTAACTATCGTTTCCTTCAAAGCATCTTTAAGAATGTAAGGTACTCACTATTAGACTGCTTATCAGCCGCGGCGGCCGGTATCGACGACGCTGGGGCTTGAGCAGTAGATTGCACTGGTGAGCGAATAATAGGATTGCTCATGTCAGGGACTGTCCGCCCCCTATTAGGGGGTATCCTCTGGGGGAGGGGCGGCTGCGTCCCTGGCGACCTGAACGAGTCAAGGAGAGGATAAAAGTCACCCGTAAAGAGAGAGAGAACTCTCAGATACAAACTACAAACTTTTTTTTAAAAGATGTACAATTACTGCTTCCATAGCCGACAGAAATTAGGTAGCTTTGAGGAAAGCGTTACAAAAATTGATGTTCATGTGTGGGTATATAATCGTTAGTGAAGTAGGCAAGTTGGCAACCACTACATAACACTGAGCCAACGGGTATTACGCTCATGTGCGTAAAAAGTTGTGCTGCCCTCTATGTACCGACCCATGAGCAAATTTAAATGTTCATAATTGACCAATGCAATTGTTGCTCAGGTATGTAAGTTACAATGTATGCAAATGTAAAGCCAAATAATGACTGCATGCCTTAAAACATCAAGTGCATCTGCTTCTTTTATTTGCATTCTGCAATATACTTTAGTAAATTACAACACTCTTTTGTAGCAATCCTCACTTGTCCAAAATGAGACAAACTTGTGCTCTTGTTGACCAAGCAAGAAACAAAACTTCCCTCTCAACTGCATGGATTCAGATTAGTCCCCCTCTCCCCTCTCTCCTCTCCCCCTCCCCCTCTCCCCCTCCCCCCCTCTCCCCCTCCCCCTCCCCCGGTCACCAACCGATTATCAAATCAACGTACCTTGGATTAGCACCCATATGAGATTGTTGAGGTGATTGCCGCATCTGCATGTTCATCTGCTGGTTAATGTGGTGTCCATGAGGGGGCGTCTGCACCCTCTGCTGCGGGGAGGGTAAGTTGTGTGGGGACGTCTGGTTGGCATAGGACTGCTGCTGCTGCTGGTGTGAGGGATGCATTTGAGGGGACTGCGCCCTGTTGCGGCCAGCCGCGCTGTTCAGGGGCAGTCCTCCAAGGGGTGGGGTGGCCCGCTGGTGGTTCCGATGGTGAACGGGGGGTCCTCCTCCGCTGCTGTTGGACGATGGGCCATCTTGCTTGTTTCTCAAGGCTGGAGGCACATACCTACCACTAGGAGATGAAAAAGAGAAATTGTTTGTTTAAAAAAAATGATTAAACTGTGGTGGTGGTTATTTTACCTGACTGCTAAGGAAGCAACAATGCTTGTTAGTAAGCAACCAGACGGCTTATGGCTTTAGGTCCTCTCTGAGGGACCTGGTAATGAGGATTAATGCCTTACCAAAAGGCACTAGCGCATTGACTTGGTGTCGAACCCGTGTCACCGGATTACGAGACCACTGCTCTACCGACTGAGCTATCGCGCCTCCACTGATCCATATATTGATTTGTATTTAGAAGCCAAATGATTAATCTGTCTCCAGACATTCGGAAAGTTTTGCAATGCCAGAAATACTATCTTTGTGAATGAGTGCATGAAACAAGTTGGAAAGGTTTCTGTGAACTACATTTCTTAAACTAAACCCTGTCGTATTGAAGGGAAAGGGAAAACATAAAAATGCCTCCTGTACATGGATGTACATGGATGTACATGGATGTAAATGGAAGATAAACAAGATACTTTCACCAAAAATTAGTAAAAAATTTCACTGAATAAATCAATAAAATTAAAGCACATCAGCCAGGAAATTGTTTAAACCTATGCACAGATTGCTTTGACATTACATAAAGTGTTGGTTGGGGGACCTACATTTCGCATCACCACATCCACTGTCTTCCTGTGGCTCGGTTTGTTGCAGAAATACCAGTGTATCTCCTAATTCTGTCTGTAACACAATACTCACGTATTAAGGCTCTCTGCATTACTGGAAGCACTAACAGGAGAAGGGGAAGAACTATGGCCAGACGGCTGGGAGTTCATCGGACGTACTACTGCACTAAATCGGTCTTCTTCCGTATGCTCTTGTTCCTTGCTGGTTCGCACCATGTAATCACTGGAACCCTCGATCTTCTTGGCCAGGCGATCAGCCCGTATAATCTTCCTCTGATAATCGTCCGTGTCTTTCGGATCTAATGGAGTTCTGTACCACAAAAAGAAATAATTATGTTTTAGGTGTTGGTACTTTTCAGCAGTCACGAGTGTATTTAAACCTATCTGCACTAGTTTGGCCAGGAGAGATTAGACCTCCCTGTATGGTCACTGACAGGTGGTTATCTCATCGAATCAGCTCTCTATTAACATAAGTTAAAAGGGACCATGGGGGACCAATGGTTACCGATTAGGCATAGTTTGCTACATAGAGGAAGCTACAAGTAGTGCAGTGGGGCTTTGAGGCTTCAGAGTGTAAGATCAGTAACTGGTAAATAAAAAGGGAAAAAGTATCACTCACGTGTAGAAATTCACCATAATACAGAATAGAAAAGAATAATTATGTTTTTCGGTGTTGGTACTTTTAAAGCCTATCTGCACTAGTTAGGCCAGGAGAGATTAGACCTCCCTGCACGGTCACCGACAGGTGGTTATCTCATCAAATCAGCTCTCAATTAACATAAGAAAAAGGGGACCACAGGGAACCAACGGGTACCAATTGGGCATTGTTTGCTATATAGAGGGCGCGAGTAGCTACAAGTAGTGCAGTGGGGATTTAAGGCTTCAGAGTGTAAGATCAGTAACTGGCAAATGAAAAGGGGAAGAAGTATCTCTCACGTGTAGTCGCCAAGATTGCTGTCGTATGATGATTTGACACCCATTTGTTCATTCCTCCTAAACATGTCTTCTGCGCTCCAACCATTAGCCTGAAAAATATACCAACAATGATGATAAACAAAAACATTTGAAACCTATGCATGGCAAACAGCAACACATACTATTCATAGTGTAATTTTAAAGTTAGATTCTTAGCTTGTTAATGTCAACAAATTTCAAGCAAATCATAAAGACAACATAAACACATTGATAAAGAGTACTTTGAGAAAACATAAAGTCAAGCTATTTGTGAAATCTTACAAACTTGCAAGGTATATGTACTCATATCAGCTCATTTACCTCATTGGAAATGAAAATTGGTTTGTATATCTTTGCTCCTTTTATCTATTTGAGGAGGGGGGGGGGGGGCTCCACTCAAACTCTTTTTCCTCAGGGGTCCGAATTGAAAATTTTAAAATCTGTATGCATGAGGCCTATATCAAGATTTTGAAGGGGGCAGACCTGACTTACGGTGGTAAGTCCCAGACGCATGTTAGTGTAGAGCATGGGGTGGTGGGGGGGGGGGGGGTCTTTTTTATTCAGTACAACAATACTGTTTGAGGGAACCATTCAGACACAATCAGTGCGTCTTGATAGGATATTGTGTGTGACTATGGTGAATCAAATCAAGTAGCTTTGTGAAAATTATATTATAATTATGGTTCGAAATCAAACAAATGTTCAGTATTTACTTGTCATAAACTCAATTAATCAGCCTCAATTTCTATTTGAAATATGAATATTTGTAACTTCAAATTTTTTGCTAGTATATAACTACATGGAATATGTAATAAGTTGTAATTTTTTTTACTGTGTATTATTTGTAATTGTCTACATATAAGTTTTGTTGAATTTTTTTTTTAGTCTGAGCTTGTAAAACTTACAATGTAATTTAGCTCTCTAGCTGCCATTTTGCAGTTGTTCTAATAAACTATGCTACTACTAATACTAGTACAAACTCACACTTCCTGCCGAGAGAGGGTCGTCTCCTAGACTTAGATCGGTCAGATTGCCATCAGTTTCAAAGGCCTCCAGCTCCCGTTCTGAAACCTGTCCATTCTGCTTCCTTGCTGATATCTCGGCATCAGTCTGGAAAGCATCGGCTATCGTGTGAGGAACAAGAGAGAGAGTGAGAAGGGGGAGGGGAGAGGAAGCAAGAGAGGGAGAGAAGGGGGAAGAGGAGGGGAGAGATAGAGAGAGTGCATTTAAATTTACTATACAACCTCATTGCTAGTGTTACAAACTGTAAATAATTATATAATATGAAATATGAGCATGGCATTATCAGTTGCAAGTCTTTAATACTACATGTCACTACATCCTCATCTCAAAATTGAACAACTTACACAAAGTTAATACCATTACTTTTTAATGGCATACCGAAAAGACAAATTAGTCATTTTTGTCTTCATAAAGCATTGTTATAAAATTGAAATTGAATCCCCTAGATATGATACACGTATCTATGATTACAGTTTATTCCTACCATGGTACAAGTATGATATTTATTATTCTGATAAATGCTATAGATAATGACAGAGAAACACAAACTCTTTCCTTATTACACAATGATTATCTCTCTTAATTATTCACTGGAGGACAAGTGAAAGTACTTTACACATTTTAGGTTACATTATCAGAGCCTTCAGAGGGGAAAGAAGAAAGTTCTGGGGGGTGTTTCACAAAGACTCGGATTTACTTTAAGTTTGCTTTCACCATTATGATCTTTAGATAATAATTATTGTAGTTTGTGGCCATGATTTGTACATCCTTTGAGAGACCAATGCCAGTCAATGGTGAGAGCAATCAGTGGCATGAATGGCCTGCCATAGTTGAGTCCAACTTAAAAGTCAATCTTCGTCTTTGTGAAACACTCCCCAGATACCTAACTTCAATGGAAAATGATGACATTTACAATAAAAAATACTTTTCAGGATACCCCTCTCTCTTTCTCTCTCTATCTCTCTCTCTCTCTCACTCTCTCTCTCTTGGAAGATGAAGAAACTAACCTCCTCTACTTGCGTATTCCATGTCAACATCTTTTATGTTGATGCACACGATGCTGGAGGATTTGAAGAGCATTTTGTCAGTGACTTGTTCAATCGTTGGAACCACGGTGTTATCACTAGAATCTACAGGATGGGCCAGGCGCAGCTCAACTTCGCCCTGAAAGAAACATTAATTGTCAATCATTAAAGGTTACTCTACATTTGCTACTCTCCACAAAAGGTGTTAAATGGGTTCCTGGTAGCATTAATTTGGTTGGCTTGGCATGCATGCATTTGTAAAATGGCTCCTAGGTGAAATACTCCCCAGGAAGCGGAGTGTGTGCACCATCTAAGTGCAAATTAGCAATCGAATCCAGTGACCGGAGTAATAATAATAATAAAAATATAAGCTACACTGTATAGAGTGTTTTTTGTTAAAACATTGGCTGAAACTCCACTGGGTTTTGCAGTGTAAATGCTCATTCTCAAACCACCAGTAAATTATTCAGGTATTAGGTCATGTGACTCTCCTGACATCTGGGCTAATTCATGTGCACAACTCAAAAGAAAATGCGAACAAATTATCAAACACCAACGTTTAAAAAAAAGTTTCCAATGGTGTAAATGCAGAGCTGCCAACCTTGTGCGACCAAAAAAAGGAATCATGATGGCAAAAAAAATGAATTTCAAGCAAAAAAAGGAATTCATGAAAATGAAACTTACAACCACGCGCGACACACTTCCAATGCAGAAATGTTCATTCCTCATGCTGTTTTTTCCATACAAGCAGGTTGTTTTGTTTTGGTTATTTTGGTATTATCGGCATTCATTCTTTTTGAGAATATTTTCCTCTTCAAGTTTGTTTTAAAATTAGTTTTCTATTAAATATGTGATCTAATCTCCATTTTAGGGCAGTTATTTGACGTGTGGTATGTAAAAAAAAAAAAAAAAAAAAAAAAAATTATAAAAAATTATTAAAAAATCGTATTTTATGAAGAAAAAACGTAATACTGTAATTTGGAGGACAAAACGGAGTAATTTCGGCAAAAATAGTATGGTTGGCAGCTCTGTAAATGTACTTTTAAAAAACATCAGTTTTTAAACATTTTTTTCTGCAGTGTAATGGGCCTAGTGAGAGTTCTCATGTCCAAATCCTACAATGAGAAACGACCTTTGAACCTTGAGTCTGATCTTCATTATCTTTGACACTCTGGGCCCTCGGGGTTAATAGGAATAAGGTCATTGACCTTGAACTTACTTGCGGGGAGAATGTAGACAGGATTCCCTCAAACTTTTTACCATTCTTGACCTGAAGCTCTGCTGTACAGCCCTGAAAGACAAAAAGAAAGACAAAAACAAAGAAAGGAAGAAAAGATAAAAAGAAGAAAGAATGTGAGTTACAACCAAATAAACAAACAAACAAAGAAAGAAAGCGAGAAAAAAAAAATACAGAAATGATGAAGAAAGAAAAAAAAAAAAAAAAAAAAAAAAAAGAGGAGAAAAAGAAAGAAATGAAAGAAAGAAATGAAAGAAGGAAAAAAAAAAAAGGAACAAAAAAAGAAAGGGGGAAAAAGCTATCAATAAGTAATTCCAGAGATAACTATCTGGGCATGTGAAGATAAAGTTCATAAACCCATACAGGCAATTGCTGGAAAAAGTGTTCATGAAAGTTACGTTATCAATAGACATTTATGCACGGACTGTACAATGTACATTATATGATACACAGATGGAAGTATTATCTTCAAGAGGGCAAACCAACAAAGGTACTGTATTACTGAAGCCCAACCACCACTTTAGCAGTGATTATTCTAAAATGCACAAAGTGGGACTTCTCCATGATGTTTAAAAGCTCTGTGGATATTTGGGGGTCATTTGTACATATGCTATTGTAAGTGGTGTATTGAAATCAGCTGTCATTCACCATCACATAATAGGATCGCTGCCAAGACAGCACATGAAGATGTAATTACAATCCTATCGTTTGGGATGATCTGATTCAGGCTACAGGACCAAGGTTACCAATTATAGTGAAACATGTCTTAGAGGCAAGCCACCTCTCCATAGAGGCCACCTGTCTATAGTGGTCACTTAACATGTACATTGTCTCCCGTGAAAAAAAAACATGCATTGTAAAACCTGTCTAGAAAGGCCACCTATGTACCATGGCCAGTTTTCATGTTTCCCTTGGATGGCCTTAAAGGCATCGTTTAACAATGTTAAATCTGAGATACACGGCCCTACGTGTATTCAGTGTCTGTGATATGGTGTAATATTGAAGCCCTAAAAAAATTGCGCTTCAAAATGATCAAGAAGTGCCTCAAAAAAGTAAAAATCTTTGAGTGACCGGTTTTACAATACTCGTTTACCCCAATAGACTGTAGTGTTATGAAAACCGTCAGGCGATCAGCTTGTAAAAGTCATGGGGTTCCTGACTGACCTAAAGGTTTATAATTATCACTGCATCATGAGCTAAATCCAGAATTTTGTTTCAGAATCTGAGACAAAGTTACCGGATCCCTTTAAAAGACAGATTTGACTGTGTTACAAATCAACTTGAATATGTATATTGTCCCATCCCATAGCAACAGAAATTGTCAGTTGGGCAATTCAAGTTATTCATCATTTGCCCATGTATGAATTTTAAGTGAATTTAGTACCTCAGCAAACAAGACTTACTTGTACGTGTACCTGTATTTGGGCAAGTACAAAAAATATTACTTTTGAAATCTTACCTCTATATCAACAAACTTTTAAAGAATTCAAAATCTTGTACACAAATGGGCATCAATCATTTATAAGACCTACAGAGGATCCAGTAATAAAGCAAAGGTATCCTCTTATCGTATTGGAAAACCCTCTGTAAAGATTATGATATATAAATATATTTTTTTTAAATCAATCATACTTACTTTTGCCACACTGGCCACATGGACAAAGTGTTGGTTGGCATATAAGCCTTGCAGACTCTGAAAAGAAATCAGTAAATATCTTAAAATTAGCAATGACATGCAGCCAATACATTACTCTCCAACTTATTGTTAAGCCATTTAAAAAAATGTACATGTTTAGCGTCCCCGCCCGCTACCTTTTTGGGGGCCGCCTCCAATTTTTTTTTTTTTTTTTTTTTTTGAAATTTTGAAGAAAAAAAATTTTGGAATTTTTTTTTTTAAAAGAAAAAAAAACACGAAAAACACTGCTAAAATGGATCTATTTCTGATTTAAAAAAAAAAAAAAAAAAGTCGGCGGCCATCTTGAAAAATAGCCCGACTGTCAGGAAAAATGTACCGAGCGGCCATTTTGAAAGAAAAAAAAAAAAAAAAAAAAAAAAGGCAAAACATGCGGGCCGCCATCTTGAATTATAATGCATGCCTCCAAATGACAAAATAATCCCAGCTATGCATTTTTTTAAAGCTTATCTGCCATAGTTTACAGGAGGGATTAAATCGCCCTGCAAGGTCACTGGACAGGTGGTTATCTCATCAACTCAGCTCTCAGTTAACATAAGAAAAAGAGGATCATGGGGGACCAATGGCCACCGATTTGGCATTGTTTGTTATATAGAGGGCGCAAGTAGCTACAAGTAGTGCAGTGGGCCTTTAAAGGCATTTGATAGACAAAAACTTGAACATTTTCAGCATTAAAATTTTTTTTAAATAATTCATTTAAATCATTTTTATTGATCGATTCACCGATCAGAAATTATTATCCGATCTCACCTGATCGGCTCAAGATCGGCCCCCGGTCCGATGATCGTTTACAGGCCTACATATACAGTAATGTACCATCACTACAATATTTCTTACCTTTAGAGACGTGGTAGGAGGGGATGCATTCTGCGGTACAGAAGTCCTGCCAGACCCCCGGCTTGCCCTGAATATACACACACAGGCAAAACAAATATTATGAATAAAACATGTAGACAAGAACAAAGAGTACACATGGAGATAAAGTCTTGTTAGCACCTAAAAAATATGTACAGTACAGTGTACAACATGTAATTCAAAATTGAATCAGAAAAAATTGACCTAGCTCCAAGTCTTTGGAAAATTTGCTTTAACTGTCCTTTTTATAAATCTTTAGATACATGTACACTGTAGCTCATACAGTCATAAAGTGTAATGGTCATGAATCAAAGTAGAGAATAGAAAATTAATTAATATATGTAATATACATAATGTGCATGTAAAGGAGCGCTAACAAACTTTGTTCAAATACAAGAATCAGGGAATAATTTTCCTGGTATCGCATCGCAATTTGCTATGCATTTTTGCATGACTGCTATACAAAATATCTTTTGTGTAGCAGTTTTCTTCCATAGAAATGTACAGAATTTCATTTCAAATATTTATCCATCGCCTGAAATTGCTAATCAAAAAATTTGAGGAAAATTATTCCCTGAAGAATACAGGAAATATGACGAAAATTATTTATAAATATTTATCACATGAAATTAAATAGATATTGCTTCAAGTTTCAAGGAAAATCCAACCATGTCTTGCTCTGAAGGTCTTCATAGGGATTAATATAATGGGGGAGGGGATATGTTTGTGAAAGATTTGAACAAAAACAGATTTGCAATTTAAAAAAAAGTTGTGAATAGTTTATTAGTTTTGGTTATATACAGAGTACTTGTTGTTTACATGAAGAGGAGGACTCTCATTTGCACCAACCAACAAAATGGCAAGAATAAAATTCTTGGAAATCCATTAGTACCAAGGAGAAATACTGTATAGTGTATAGGACAATTTACTATGGGTCATCTATCAAATAACAGCAATCATGAAATTGTTTAATAGCATGGAGTCTTTTCTAGACCTTTTTTTTTATAGACAAATTGTGATTTACTGTAGATTGTATATGCACAAGTACCTGTAGTCTAGACTTAGTGATATCCTTGATTTTTAACCCTGTAAACGATCATCGATCGGCCGCCGATACCGATCCGATCAGGGGTGATCGGATAATAATTTCCGATCGTCGATCAATTGAAATGATCGGAAAAAATTGGCAGAATGTTTTTTTTTAAATGACGAAAATTTTCAAGTTTTGGGCTATCAAATGCTCAAAAAAAATTCATGGCTGGAATTATTTTGTCATTTGGAGTTGTTGTAGACCATGTTTGTTGATATTTAGTGCCTTTTCATGACTTTGAAATTAATAATGTTGGTCTAAGAGCAGAGGCAAAACATGCGGGCCGCCATCTTGGATTATAATGTAGGTATTTTTTTTTTTTTAATGACAAAAATTTTCAAGTTTTTGGCTATCAAATGCTCAAAAAATATTAATGGCTGGGATTATTTTGTCATTTAGAGTTGTTGTAGACCAGGTTTGTTGATATTTACTGCCTTTTCATGACTTTGAAATTAATAATATTGGTCTAAGAGCAGGGCAAGACATGCGGGCCGCCATCTTGGATTATAATGCATATCTACATACTTACTAGGCGCCTAGCTGGCATAATAGAATCGATTCGCTGCTATTTGTACTGTGTTTTGTGTCACGATCTCTATTGGTCCTTCGAAACGAAATGGCAGCGCCCTGATCTCCCAGATCCTAATCAAATGATTGGTCATACGCGGTCACGTGTGATTCATTTACTGAGCCTATTGCACTCGTTTTCATGAAAAGGAGTGCAATATTTACCAGTATTATTGAACTCGTTTTCAGAGCGCGCAGTAGTGCGCGTAGAGGTTAGACCGCCTAATATTGCGTGCATGGGTCTATTCTTGCGCAGCACTATGCGTAAATGGGTTCATTTGTCAGCTATATACTGTACTGTAACGAAACAATCTTGAATTAATTCTTTTTACATAAAAAAAAAAGGATCTAGGAGTTTCGTTGTATAAAACAAATGATGCATGTTTTCATTTGTTTACTATACGATCTATCCGCCCTCGTTGAGGCTGTGTGTATCTATCACACTCAGCCTAACGGCTTCGTGCGATAGATACACACAGCCTCAACTTGAGTGTGGATAGATCGTATAATGAACTCATGCGCATGCATCATTTGTATAATATTCAGAGTTATTAACCATGATTTTAGGCCCGATATTTTTTCACTGCATAACAAATCACAAAATAGCGTAAGTTTTGCGATTTACTTCTTGAAAAATGAAAAGTTTTGAGGTGAAAGGGGTTTTCTGTGACTTTCCGTTCCAAATTGCATTTTCCGTTTCAAATGGTCATTTCCGTGAATTCCGTCCGTTTTTCCGTGATCGCTTAAAATCAGTGTCCCTACATTATCAGTTTATCACTCCTACAATCTTTCCTACAATCTTTCCAATAAGAAATTTCCACATTCTTGGTTAAATTGCTGTAGATTCTAGAACAGAGATTCTTGAACAAAAAGTCCTGCGGCAAACTCGGAAGATAGTTTGCAATGTTCACTGTTTGCAGGAATTAGTGATTATGAACACATTTTTAGAGAACTTAGACTACCGTAGTCTAGGATTGGTTTACATTTCTCTTCACACATGCAAAATTTGCAAATAGATGCCAATTAACGATTGGTGAAATTTAGCAACATCATATTTCATATTAGAATGTCTGATCGCATGCTGTTTGGTGTGCTAAAACCCTTCCCTTAGAAATTGAATTCTACGTGGATTATGCGCTCATGCAAAATTGATGAATGTTTTTATCACCAAATTGAGATTCAAACCTTTATTCTTTGTGATCCTGAAGGCGATACACGATAAATGAGGTGTCATATGAAAGAGCAGGTTTTTCTACTTTTGCCCCAAAAGGCGTCATATCGGAACTCTAAAAATATCTTGATCAAAACAGTGATTTGAATATTGGTTCCATAGTAGCTCTGAGATTTGTCACTTTTGAGAAATGATGCCCGAGCGATAAGTAGTTCTATTCATGTTAAGGAATACACAGTATCCGCTTATTTGTTTGCTAGCCCCAAGAGATCTCATATAATGACAGTTTGAAAATGCCCTTCCCCCCACTTTTCGGATCAGCTAACTGGGGAGGCGTGACTCCGCTCAGCCCAAACTCATGATGACAACGCGTACATGTAGAATCTGCACATGCATGTATTTCACGCTCGGTAGCTCCGTGGCACGAAATTAACCCTGTAAACGATCATCGGATCGGCCGCCGATACCGATCCGATCAGGATTGATCGGATAAAAAATTCAGATCGCCGATCAATTGAAATGATCGGGAAAAAAAATCGGCAGAATTTTTTTTTTTTTTTTTTTAAATGACGAAAATTTTCAAGTTTGGGCTATCAAATTGCTCAAAAAAATTAATGGCTGGAATTATTTTGTCATTTGGAGTTGTTGTAGACCATGTTTGTTGATATTTAGTGCCTTTTCATTACTTTGAAATTAGTAATGTTGGTCTAAGAGCAGAGGGAAAACATGCGGGCCGCCATCTTGGATTATGTAGGTATTTTTTTTTTTTTAATGACGAAAATTTTCAAGTTTTTGGCTATCAAATGCTTAAAAAAAATTCATGGCTGGGATTATTTTGTCATTTAGAGTTGTTGTAGACCATGTTTGTTGATATTTAGTGCCTTTTCATGACTTCGAAATTAATAATATTTGTCTAAGAGCAGGGGCAAAACATACGGGCCGTCATCTTGGATTATAATACATTATTTCCGACCGAAATTGAATTGAATTGAATTGAATTGAATTGAATTGAATTGAAAATCAGTAGGGGCGCTTGTCTGAGAATAAGGATCGTCTGCAGAAACGAAGATTGTCTTCTTAAACGCGGATAGTCTATGCGTCCCACAAAATAAGGATTGTCCGCATTTTCGCTGACATTAAAGGTACTAGTCTATGTCCCTTTTGCAGCCAACCTCAAATGCCGTAGAACTTTGCAGGAATTATGAATATGTCTTGTATGTCCCATCTGTGAAATGTAAAACGTTAGCAGTGTCATAATATTCAAATTATGCAAGGAAACCCGTTTACTTGCTTGACTTCACTGTCAGACACTATTGAGTGACCGACTGGCTTTTTTCTTCTTTGGTAATAACATACTGTACATGAAAAGAGTTGTAAAGGGTACATGAGCAATTGTCTATATCAATAACCCACTTCTTGTGATGACCAAGATTAAACTGATTGAATCTTTGCGCAGCATAAAACGTATGACCATTCGATGCAATTGTCTGAAAATCAAGACTATTACTTTTGGGCTCTATAGCCCTAAAGTCGATTTGACAACTAATAGTCGTTATTTTCCCACTTGAAGACATTTTCAAGCCCCACCTTATTTAGGGAAGTTCTTAATTAGTATTATCTTTCAAATGCAGTTGGAATTTAACTTTTTCATGTTTTTGGCCTGCAAATGGGACATAGTACCTTTAAAGGCAATTCTGATTTCCGTTCCACGTGTTGGTGATGCAAAAAAACGCGTTCAGCCAAAAAAATACACGGGGGCGGAGGGCGGATTCGCCCCGGAAAGACCATAAACAGCCCCCGAAATAGGCTCAAAATCCGATTTCGGGGGCGGCATCAAAAAGTGAAATGATCCCAAATCGCCCCCGTAACGATTACGAGCGGTCGCGCGCTCTCTTCTAGCTTCGTATTCATTGCGTGCATTTCTTGGTCCACGCGCTGAATCTCCGTGTAAAATTGTATAAACAAAAATCGGTCGTAAAAAAACTCGAACCATATTCCATACCTTACCTGACTTACCATGTCGCACGCAAGTACGCCAAAACACGTACATTTTCGCAGTTGCGAGAGATCGAGACGGAGCGTAGGGGTCGAGTTTTTGGCGGTCGATTTTGTTTTGGTAGAAGCTGAATCTAGACCATGAACCACTAAATAATCGCGAAACTGCAATCAATTTCCATCACGAATTCACGATTGCCGCAATTTTATAAAGTTTCCATAAATAGAGGTATGAAATTAAAGCCTATTTTGTGATATTCTCGCCATGTTTACGTAATTTTGATAATCATTTCTTAAAAGTAAAGAAAATCAGACAAAATCACCGTGACTGACACGCATTTGTACAATACAGTGCATTGCCGCTGTGCAGTGTGTGTGAGTGAAGATGGGCTAAAGCTCCAACACACCGGCAGCGCAGGCGTCCGGCAGCGCAGGCGTCCGACGCCTGCGGCGCCAGTGTTGAAGTTTCCTGCAGCTGCAGAGTGTGTGTGAGTTGGGCTGAGCTCAAGTCGAAGAGATTTGACACTTTGAAATTGTTATCTGTTGGTTTGCATCATTATTGGCGCGATTTCAATATAGTTTCGTGAATAGATTTACGAAACCTGAGCTTAGAATTAGTAAAAGTATTACTAATGTCTACGTTTTTAAACGACTGTCTGATTTTCTTGTGAAAATTTTACTTTGAAAAATGATTATCGAAATTCATGGCCAGAAATAGTCACAATCTAGGGTCTATTATGTTACAGTTCTTGCATCAAATCAATACATGAAAACTTAGTTATTGAACTAGAAAAAGGGGTTTCTTTTTTAATAGGCAATTATGAAGCAGGAAGCCCGAAACCTTAGCCTACTAAACAAATCTCAACAAACTGTAGGCCTATCCTTTTATGAATTAATGAAAAAGTAGCCCCAGAAAAAAGAGCCCCCGAATGGAAAAAAGAGCCCCCGAAAGTTGAAAATGTAGCCCCCGAAAATTTCCCCAAAATTTGAAATGGAGCCCCCGAAATGAAAAACTTAATTTTTTGCCTGAACGCGTTTATCACAATGATTTTCTTGATGCATTTCACATTGACTTTGTACAGAGACTTTCACGTTATGAGCGATAAATCCTCGGGAAGACGGACAACTTATCAAAGTATACAGTGAACTATCTGGGGGTATTTTATTACGCAGAATCCAAATTTTTTCCAGGCAGCGCGCAGATCAAGAACCTGAAAACCTGCAGAGCACTTAAGAAGAAAAAAGAAACCGCGGACGATCCTTATTATCTGGATGCTTTTTGTCCGCGTTATGTGGACAATCCTCATTCTCGAACCAGCGCCGCATAGATCTAGATGTACTGTCGTACCGACACTGTTTGGACAATGACAGTGCAGATGGAATGGTGGTTTCCTAATCCTATGATAAATGCCCAGATCATTCAGTTTGGTGCTTGGTACTTGGTGAAAGTGGAAAAAAACTAGATTTGGGCAATGGATCCATCATCCACCAACTATAGTCTCCCTGGCCGGGCCGGTTGTGCAAGTTGACACACACCCTCATCATTCATGCTCGCCGGTGCAGTGCCGTACCGGGGCCCACATGTATGCGCTTATCCATGCTCACTGCCATCTCTAGTGTCTTTTCATGAATTTCAGACTCGACCCTCACAGATCACATCACATTGACTTACAACGATCTGTTTACAAACAATCAGCGTGGCTAGTACGTTATTTTAGCACAGCAATAATAGTCGAATTCAATTTCATCTCCTTACAAATTTAACAAAGATCATTACAGTGTCTTACTTGTATCGTACAAATACACACTAATCGCAATTTGTAACGTTTTACTAACCTGCCGGTGCTCCTTTTAGCGACTTGTTCTCTAGGTCGCGGCCTATTCATGGTGATACCGGTAATCTAGCGCACGTACGCGGCTCTAATCTTTCAGGAGAAGGTATGATTCCGGAGAAACAAACGAAATCAGTCCCTCATATCGACAATTTTCCAATTGGTCAGGTGATATTGTTTACAATCCAACAATAATATTCCCAAAAGGATAAAGAGTCGACGTATAATATAGAAAATTGCCCTGAATTTCAGGTTCCACTGCGTGAAAGTTACTACGGCAGCTGGCGCACTAATTTCAAGTAGGATCGGGGACACCAGTGTAAAATTAAATATACAAAATATTCTTTATAACAAATAAAATACCTTACGATTATATTCATTAAAGTGCAACGTACTAACAAATTTAAGTATGACTTGAACTTGAATTCAAATTGTCATTAAAACAGAGCACAATGGATGTAAAATAGAACTATATTTCATAAGCGCACGTTATTACAATCGTATATTGTGAAAAGTCTCGGCGCGCAGTCAGACATATCAGGAGGGGGTAACCCTACCCTATTTTAGGGAAGGGTACCCTATTCTATTGAATTCGTTGCAGTCAATGCTGTCTGGCCCGAAAAAGTGCCCATATTGGGTCTTTTTTTAAAGTGGAGGGTATACTCAAGATTTCAACAAGCTATAGCATCTATATATTAACCCCCCCCCCCCCCTCCTCCGTTCCAATTCGATAATTTACAAATGAATAAATAAGAAAGGAGATTTTTTTTATTATTATTAAAGTGTGAAGAAAAAAAACATAGACAGCTGATTCAGTTTGGAATATTGTAGCCCCTCCTGGCCAAAATATAATGTAAGGCCTTATGAAAATGGGAATTGTGCAAGTAATGTCTTGTTCTCTACGGGGTTCTCTACCTTCGATGGGATCCTGTATATCTAGCAACATTATGAATTGAAAATAGTACGGGTGCAAGAGTGGCCGCTATACTTATGCAATGGGGGAGTGGTTAGTCTGACTTTTAGAACTAGGGCAAACTTCTAGGACTATACTCTCACACTTCTTCCTCAAGTTCACCATAACTAAGTTCATTCAGTGGCGGATCTAGGGGGGGGGGGTACAGGGGGCCCCAGGCCAAAAAAAAAACACAAAACAAATTAGTGCTCACTATCCCCCCCACCCCAAAATAAAAATTAGTGCTGACTAACCCCCCCCCCCCCCCCCCCCCCCCCCCCCCCCCCCCCCCCCCCCCCACTGAGCGAATTTTCGGCCGGCGCGATTTTCAAATTTGGGGGAGCACAAAACCTCGACCTCACCTCCAGAGGTGGACTTACATGTAATGTTTATACCATGGTAAAAAAAAACACCAAAATATCACGTACGCTCCTGGTGGAGGTGGTAGTGTTGGTGGTGGCGTTGGTGCAGTGGTGGTAATGTGGTGGCGGTGGTGTGGTGGTGGCGGTGGTGTTGGCGGTAGTGGTGGTGGTGGCGGCCACGGTGGTAGTAGTGGTGGTGGTAGGATGGTGGTGGTAGTGGTGTTGGTAGTGGTGGAGGTGGTGTGGTGGTGGTGGTGGTGGTGGTGGCGGCGGTAGTGGTGGTGGTGTTGGTGGTGGTAAGATGGTGGTGGTAGTGGTGTTGGTAGTGGTGGTGGTGATGGTGGTGTTGGTGGTGGTGGTGGTGGTGATGTTAGTGGTGGTGATGGATATGAAGATGAACTTACGCTCAATAATATTTAACGAGCTTCCTCTCGCCACACCTTTTCATAGCAGACTTAAAGGGCCCATGACATCGAAATACAAGCGTATTCATGTTGGTGTGCAGTCCTGTTTACATCTCATATTTTGATATGTAAACTTCTGAATTTGTTTCATAGATTTTTAAATATTTTTTGAAATATTTGTTTTCAAACTTGCTAAGCTCCACCCCAAAAACCTCCAGATATCATCCCCTTTGTGACATCATCTGTCCAATGAGCTAATTTGAGAAAGTAGCTTTGCCAAAGTTGACCACCACAATACCACAAACAATAACAACATATAAGTTGTCAGACATGTCAGAATAAACTAATATTCTAGAATAGACAATGGTATGTAATTTCCCCCAGCTTAGCACACGTTCATAATAGAATTGCATGCTTCCATATTATGTACAATACATCATCATTGCCTTTGTCTTCCTGGTGATGCTACAGCATGTCTGACATAGCAACTCGTATGTTACTATTGTATTACGTATTGTAACAGGTGATCAACTTTAGCAAAGTTACATGCCACTTTCTCAAGTTAGCTCATTGATGACTGACAGATGATGACACAAGGGGAATGAGATCTGGAGAGTTTTGGGGTGGAGCTTAGCAAGTTTGAAGAAAAAAATATTTTCAAAAAATATTTAAAAATCTATGAAACAAATTCAGAAGTTTATATATCAAAATATGAGATGTATGCAGGACTGCACACTAACAGGAATACACTTGTATTTCGATGTCATGGGCCCTTTAGTCCATTATCTTCCTCTCCTTTCTCCCCCATCCCCCCCCCCCTCAATCTCTCTCTCTCTCTCTCTCTCTTTCAGTTGACGTACAAGTTTTCTTTTGATCTTTGATTCTTCTTTGCTAGTTCTATTTTACAAGAAAACTTCTTGTACTAAGGGTAGAGTTTAAAGGAGATAAAATGTCATCAACTCATCAGCAACAACCATACTTCTCACGACATAATTGTGTTCTCCTTCTTGTGTTGTTGTTGTTCTTCTTCTTCTTCTTCTTCTTCTTCTTCTTCTTCTTCTTCATCTTCTTCTTCTTCTTCTTCTGTTTCTTCTCCTTCTCATTTTTCTTCGTCTACTTTAATTTTCATTTTCCTTCGGTTTTGCTAACACTGCGTTGTACATTTATTTATATAATATATTGTTTACAAACAAAATATTCATTCGTTAAATTACATTGTAAATTGATTTATTCGATATATTTGTTTCCAAACAGAATATTGATTTGTTACATTGCATTGTAAATTGATTTAAATGTTTATAAACAGAATATTGATGTACAATTGTACATCAATGAAATTTAATAAATACAAAGTCATGTTAGATTCTCCTCTCTTCCTCCCTCTCTCTCTCTCTCTCTCTCTCTCTCTCTCTTCTCTCTCTCCCTTTCTCTCGGACTTTCTTCAATCTTTTTCCCTCTGATTTTTTTTTCCAGCTCAGACCGTTTCTCAAATCTCCTATATGCTCTTCTATACCCGGCCCTCATTCACTCTCACTCTCCCTTCTCACACGATATATGTTCCGTGGACCCGGGGGTACGCGCGCCATTTGCCCAACAATTCCGAAGAAATAATTATCAGCGATTTAAACATAATATGTTTAAATCGCTGATAAACATTTATGCTTTCTTTTTTAATTAACTAAATTAATCTGAGAAACATCGTCGATATAAATTTTTTTTTTCTTCCCGGAATTATTAGGCAAAAATGCCCCTGCATGGAAGAAATCACCTTAAAGTGGCATAATTGTATCTGGCCGAAATGTTTCCTAAATGAAAATGAGTAGATAGAAAAATATCCCAACTACTTTCGAGAAATTAACTCAATAGCCTAGATGATGACAAGGTAAAATACGTAATCCAAACATGATTCTATATAAGCCAGTTTACGGTTGCAGTCTGAGCATGAGCAGGATAAAGGTCATTTGTACCAAAAAGGTAAAACCCACAGAGATGAATACTAGATATGCGCTCATGAAAGTTAAGTAACATTATTCATTTATGCACAAACGGTACATTCTAAGATACGCAGGTGGAATTATTCTTTTCAAGAGGGCAAACAAAAGGTATTCATGAAGCACATCTAGGACTTTGGCAGTTATTATTCTAAGATGCTCAAAGTGGCACTTCTCCATGTGTAAAAGATCTGTGGATATTTGGGGTCATAAACTCCCTTATTGTATAGAAACCATGTTCGGGTTACGTATTTTACCTTTTCAAGCAATGTTCGCTCATTTCAAAAGGTGATGTTTACCAACATAAAGCAATTTTCACCAGCGAAAATTGCTTTATGTTGATTTTTCGAAGTAGTTGCGTCACATTTTTTAAACAACAAGAAAAACAACAATACCATAACCTCATAACAAATCGTGTAATTGGGAAAGCGGATATATTTTTATAATGATGATATTCATGATCAATTTTTCAAGAGAAAATTGGTAGGATAAAATGAAATTGGGTATGTATGTACCGCCCCCCCCCCCTATTCCGGGGTCGGAGAAACCGCGTGCGTGTTCCCAAAATGTCCGGTAAAGGGGGACTTTTCACGCACCAAAGTCCGGCTCGTAGCTGTACACAAAAATCCAGCCCGTATAGACTTTACACGGACTTAGGGGGTGTTTTCAGAATGAGGGAACATTATACGCGTACCCTAAATATAACACTGAGTGGGGGGGGGGGGGGGGGGGGGATCAGGGTTGAGTGTTCAAGATAATAAGGGGGGATCAGAAACGGATCATTAAAAAATGGGGGTTGTGACAGGGTAAGGGGGGGGGGGGGGGGGGAGGGATATCCTCTTCATCATTAGTATGGTGGATTATACAGTGGTGCAATGTTGTTCCAGACATTCATTAGGCACCGGCATTACGAGGCGGGGGGGGGGGGGGGCATCGATCTTTTATGATAGATGAAATGTGAATGAACAAGTCCATTTTTTCAGGGGTAGGTATGGGAAGTTTTTTTTTCATTTTCATTTTCCACTCCCCCCCCCCCCTAATCTCTGTTTTTCCTATTTATTTGTCTCCCGGCCTCATACCTTTCGAGAAGGGGGAGGGGTGCCCCCGTGCCCCTGTGCTCACCTGAGACCTAGAGCGAGATTGTGTATCATGCTGGCGGTTGCCCACAGGTGCGGATCCAGGGGGCAGGGGGCCTTGCGCCCCCCACCCCCCCCCCCCCCCCCCCCCGCCAAAAAGAGAGAGAGAGAGAGAAGGAAAAGAAGGGAAAGGGAAAGAGGAGAGAAAGGGAAAGAAAGAAGAGGAAGCAGAAAAGAATAGGGAGGATACGAGCAGTGATATGCAGATGGGTAATGGAAATGCTTTTTACTATAGTGAGAAAGTGGTTGTTGTTTTTGGCTTTGCTCACAGTGCTAAACAAAAAATCCCATAATTTGCGTAATCGTAATTTTTGCAGATGAACCTATGCATTTTCAAATATCATAAAAATAATGAAACTTCATGAATTTGAACTAAAAGAAAAATGTGTTCAATACATTTTCAAGAGCCTTCACAAATCTACAAATCAAGTGACTTCTGTAACATGCATAACATTAGCATTT